ACTAACAATTAGACTGTGAAGTTAAGGTGACTCTAGTTCTCTGTGTGTGTGAAACCACATTAAACCACAAGCTAATCACTTTTAATATGAGGATGTATTTATAAACTACTTTTCATACACAAAGTGCATCAAAGCCAAATAAATACAGCAGGAGACACACACAAGTAAAACTTCTTCACTTCATCACCTCAAAAACAGGTCGTTTCCATCTCGTGTGCATTACTTTCAGTTAAACATTCTGCCATGGATATTGGTGAGATTGCAAAAGGAATAATTTATAAGTGTCTGAAATTCACTGTGGACTGTTGATGTGTGAAGGAAAGTGGTTTCAGACACAGGTGGACGGTTTGAGGATGAAACCGCCGTCCTGTCTTTGAAGACGGGTCCAGGTCTGACTAATGAAGACAGCTGATGTATTATTGTGTGGAGTGGTTGAGATTAGCTTTAACTTTGCTGGCTGCAACATTAAAGTGATGCTCACACGTAGTCATAATCTAGACTAACTGAGCACTTTATTAGGAACACCTGTGCGCCTGCTTAATCGCACACAATCCTGCAGATACAGGTAGCGTTCACGTCAGACGTCAGAACCGGCGTCGAGTCACCGGTCCAGGCTGGAGCAGCAGGTGTGACGGTGTGAACGTCACCGTCTACCTGAGTGTTGTTGCAGGATGATTTGCCTTTTCACTTCAACTGACACGAGTCTGAGCCTGAGGCCTTCAGCTGCTTTCAGTTCCTCTAATTACACCTCTGCTCAGGTTGAAGGTGGGCGGAGCTCCAGTTGTGATGAAGTCACCGTGGCCTAACAGGTGCAACAACACTAACGGGAGAGGGAGGGAGAGGTGTCAATCAATCTCCTATAGAGTGTGTGTGTGTGTGTGTGTGTGTGTGTGCGGACCATGGCATTATGGGAGATTCAAAGCTTCATCTTTCCTTCTTCTTCTGTGTTTTATTTGAAGTGTTGATCCATCAGAAGATATAAAAACCATCTCAGTGTAGTTTTACATCTCCTCTCTCAGGCTTCTCTCTGCAGCTCTAGTAACAACAGGTCGGTGAGCCAATCAGAAGAGAGGAGGCTCTGAGCCTCTCTTCTGATTGGCTGACTGTTTTCTGAGTGATCCAATAAAAATATAGCAGATTTCAGGTAAAAACCCTCAGAGAAACCAAATCCTGCAAGGTTTGGATGGTGGGTCCAGGTGGGCGGGGCTTGTGACTGCTTTGTTGTGACATCACAACGTTCCAGAAGTCCTGACCTAATAAATCCCTCTGCTGAGAAGGTTCTAGCTCTCGACAAATACTACAATAGCACAAGGTTGTTTAAGTTGGACTGATAATATGCCATTAATCAGTTTCCTCCACCATAACTCCCTTTAGTCATTTTCAGTCATTTCTATCAGGCAATCAGGAGAAAATAAAATCACTTTTCTCTTCTGACTGAGGACGAAAAGTGTCTTTTCAGTGCACTGTCAGATTTGTCTCCAACAGAAACAACTTCTCTGCTGCGGCCTCGGTGGCTGATTGAATCCAGATGTTCGCTCCACTGACTCATCTCCCTCGTCCAAGGCGCTCTCTTGAAATATGGTAGCGCCAGCGTTGTGTAATTGTGACATTCTTGCATTGTTTGATGTCCATGAGAATGAGCGCAGCGGTCTGCCGTGCATGTGTTGACTGAGCGTACGGTACATGTGGTGCAGCTCTGCTCGCTGACAGATGATGCATGGACGGGCCGGTGCTTGGAGTGAGCAGCTCTTTGGAGAAAATATTTTGCCTCTGCGGTGGTGTTTATATTCTGACAGGATCTGATACACACTCCCAAGGCTGAGCGATGAGCACGCCGCTCCAGCGTGGTGGTTCTCATCTGTGGGATCTGCTCCGTCCAAAATGATCTAAACTTGCTTCTCTCTTACAGTGAAAGTGTGAGTTCACTTTTTTTTTAGCTTGGCGTGACGCTCAGTGCAGACGGTGTGTGGTTCAAATGTCCATGTCCCCTCAGGATGAGCTGTAATAACTGTGGTGATTACCGAACGTTTCATCCAGCGCCATCATCAGGTCGCAAACCTGTCCAATACTAACACCTGCAAAACGGATCACCTTCATCAGCCTCAGCTCCACTTTGTGTTTGGTTTATAATTAACACGCTAACTCTCAAAGCTGAGACGCTGATTATCGTCCCTGCTAAACGCCAGCGTTAGCATTTAGCTCAAAGCGCTGCAGTGCGTCCTCACAGAGCTGCTGCAGACTCTGTCAGTCAGATGAAAAATGTCCATCAAACCTCCACAAGAACGCAAAATTCAAACATATGCAAATCACAATAATATAACATGGAAAAGTTCGAAGCTGCACGCAGTAAATATTTGCTTTAGAAATGGTTCAATCATCAGTCACTTATGAAAATGAATCATTTTCTGTCAATCAACACATCGATAAATCATCTTCTCCTTTCAGCACTGGTCCTAATGAATGTGCACGTTAATGAGCTCCAGTTGTTCAGGCTGGTAGAAGCTCATTCATCAGAACAGACGGTCGGATTCAGAACCAGCTTTCCAAAATTTGTCATTCCCACCCACGTCACGCTGTGATTGGTCAGCCGCGTGGGCGTGAGAACGCAGGCAGCGTTTGAACTCCTCTAAACCCCTTCTTTCGTTTATTTATCATAAATATATCTGTCACTTTTTATGTGAACAACTGAGCACAACGCCACCAATTATTTCCAGGTGAGACTGTTTGAAAGCGTGTGAAGTTGCACGACCCGAAATATGTCGTGCACGGAAGAGAAGAATCTGATGTTTTCTCCTTCATTATTCCTGCAATATAATATAATGACATTTGTATCTCATCATCAGGTGATATATAATGTGTGTCTGTAGCAATCACAGTTCACCTAACTCAAAAAACATGAAGCTCAGCACAGCAGGGAGTGAGCATGATAACTTCCCCTTATTAGACAAGGTATGCTCAGAGCCTGGAGGCGGCTGTTGCTCGGTATGTGTGTGTGTGGAAGGCGCCAATTTAGGGGATTACCAGGAGAAGGAGAAACAGACTGCTCCTGCGTCGCCACCGGAGAGTGTGAATCTTTGATTGGGGCTGATTTTCTAAGTAATTTTTTTTGCCTTTGTTTGACAGGGCTCGGGGCGTCTGCACACTAACCACCGTCAGGTCGCTCAATTCACAGGGTTTGTGGAAGTGGATGGGCGGCAGATGTTGAGGTGATAAGGTAAACTGGGCACTGCTGTGTTTTCATATGTTTATGGACACAGGGTTGGACAGAACCGGGGAGGAAAACAGAAAAGTATTGGAAGGAAAATAAATGAGACAACTGGGACAATTCGTGTCCTGGGAAAGAATATTAATTTTCCGGCACAGACGCTCAAGAGAGAGAAGAAAGCCGAGGCGGGTAGTGACGACAGCGTGTACAGGATGAGTTTAATTACCTCCTGCAGCTTCAGATCAAACTGGTGGCAGCTCATTATCAATCAATGAGAATGAGAGTCAATCACAGACACTTAAACACACCATATCCAGCTAACTTTAAGCTATGCTAAGCTAACTTCTCCTGAGGGGAAAAGGTGACCTGCAGGCCGCTGTGCAGCTGTAACGAGGCAGAACGTCTGAGGCCATAAAACGCCAGAGGGCGGGTGAACGCTGCAGTGTTGATCTCACCTTCCCCTTCACGTCCACATGTGGGTCAGATATCCTCGGCCTCCGCTCGCCGCCTCTCTAAACTGGAACGTCGAAGCTCTCCATCACGGCGGGATTGTTTGAAGTTATGGCGCTGTGTCGTTAATGTTTACGCTTCCATCGCTTTGATTGTCGCGGGGATTTATCGCGCCGCGGCACCGTGAGGGAACATACCTGCTTTAGTGTGGAGATTTATGGGAGGCCTTTGAGTCGAGTGCCGCTCCTGCCTGTGTTTTGGATGCTTTTCCTGTCACAGTCCGTTTAAAGCAACTTCGCCGACCGAGGTCAACGTCCACGAGTAAATCTTTCAAATTGATTGTTGGGAGTCTGTCACAGCTGGTTCTCCACCTGGGGCTCAGGACCCCCTCTGTGGACCACAGAAACACTTCCAATGGGTCACGAGGAAATTACATAACATTAAGACTTTAGAGACTTTTTTTCATTGTGCATTTTTTTTTGTCTTGTTTTACCTCTGACCAGATCTCAGCTCAGCAGAGCGGAGGTGGAGCTGGGAACATGAAAGTAATATTCTGATACCTGTCGATCATTTAAACACCTGAGGCGCGTCGGTCGGTCTCAACACCACCAGTCTGAAAAGCAAAAAGAAATCTGAGGGTGTGAACAGGAAGGAAGTGAATTTACCAGACCCCCACACCTGTAGCCAAATCTCTGACCCAACTGTCGGTGGTTGAGTTGCATTGTGGGTAACGCAGGCACCGGGACAATGGGTGCTTTCAATTTGGCTAACGCGCTTCTCCTGACGGAAAAAATAAATAAAGCTGCAAAGGATATTTTATTAATGATTTAATGGTGCACAAAGCAGATTCCCACGACTGGGCGACACGTGACGACATCATCGTTAAACTGTAAACTCACGTTGTTTTGACTGGCGTGTTAGCGAACAGCTGGTTGTCTCCACCTCCAGCAGTTACTGAGCAACATCATCGTTTGTTGCTGCAGCGTGGGTGTTGATTCTCAGTGGGTTTAGTACGAGCAAAGTTTTGACACTTGATTGTTTGAGTGATTTGATTGAATCAAAAATATGAAATTATTGGATCCTGAAGTTCTGTGGAGCTCTGAAGAAGACGGGCCGACCTTCATGCTGAATGTAAATATGTTTACACAGGGAAAACTCCATATTAATTGTGTACATCTCATATTGTCTGCAAACTAGTTGTGATGATGTGACGTGAATAATCAGTGGAAAAAGCAGTCATGTGACACGTGCGTATAAACGCAGCCACTTCCACTGCTGTAGAAATGTGACTGACGCTGACAAATTCACACATCTACAGCCTGAACTGGGGTTCCTTTACTTTTATTTACACCCCGAAGACGCTGGTGACGAAGAGGAGGAGCAGAGCGGGAGCTGAACTGGTCAGCAGGAAGTGGCGGCAGCTGTGCGACGCAGCGTTGAGCTCAAAGCGTCCGTCCACTCTGCACTCGCTGCAGTCTTCACCGCAGAACGAGCAGGCGGACATGTCACTCCTCCACTCCGATTTGTACGTCCGCGCCGTCCTCCGTCCTGGAAGAAGGAGCGAGAGGTCAGAGGTCAGAGGTCAGAGGTAACTTTCATGCCTCCTAGTTCTCCAAATTTACTTTTGACTGAACTTCGAGACGATCGGAAAGAGAAAATGTAATGTCGGTTCATCAAGTCTCCGGTCAGCGCCAGTAAACCATCAACAGCAGGAGAGGAAGGTGCAACAGAAGAAATATAATCACAAGAGTCGAAGCTCAGACTGTGACAATAATGTAGAAAAGATGATCTGTGGACTGTGCTCTTACTGGGTTCATAATAGTCATAGATGAGAACCGTCGCCTCCTGGACTTTGGCGACTTTATGCTCCATGACCAGAGGAATCACGAGACACAGATCGTCTGTCGTCACCTGGAAACACGTGTACGTTTTTAAATTCAGGTCAGTCTCTTCACACAGAGAGGCGACAGTCAGACACGGGACGTTTCAGTGACACCTACTGAGTCCAGGTACAGGATGACGCTCCCGGGCCGGGTCTCCACTTTCCTCACGACCCTGTCGGTCTGGACGCCGTCAGGAGGCAGACTGAAGCCGCTCAGCACGCCGACCTCCAGGATCGCCATGCCGGTCGCATTCAGACCCAGATCCCCCCTCAGGCTGCGGGGGGGGGGCGACGCAACAATGTGGAGACAATAGGAAGTTTGATTTGTCTGGGTCAATAAAGCAACAGGATTTATCTTTGTGTCACTGCAGGAACAGACTTTATATTCCAGTGTCAGATTATCTTCAGCTGCTCACCTGCTGCAGATGTACAGATGTGCTGAGTCTATTTCTGTGTCGAACAGCTCGACGTAGAGATGAAATGCCTCGTGTCCGCCGGCCTCTCGTCTCCTCCTCGTCAGCTCCTCATTCCTGATGTTGTAAAACACGTTGAGCTGCGGGGGGAGGAGGGGGGGGGTCAGACTGAGACTGATGGACAAGTGAAGGATCAAACACTGAGCAGCTCAGTCCTTCTGTTCTGACATTTTCTAACGTTTACCGTCGTCAGTCATGAATGATTCTGATTTCCTGCAAATGGTTGTTTCAATTAAAGCTTCACACTTTCCCAACAGGAGAGACAGAATCATCCGAATAAAGGAAAACACTCGACGAAACGAACATTTTTTGGACGGATTTAAAAAAACAGATTTTAGAAAAACATTGGCAGGATGAATTGCGTCAGAGACCCTTTAAATCTTCTTTTTTATTTCACCTTTGTTGTGTTTTCTTAAACTCTAAGGATCTAAATTCAGTGGTAAGAAACTCCTTCTGTACCACTGAGAAACAGCAGCTTCCATTAAAGTGAGCAGATTTCTGTCCCGGTACCTGAACCAGAGCGAGTCCGCGACCCTCTGCAGTCACCTCCAGGTGCAGCTCCTCCTCCGGTTGGATCTGGAACAACATGAGACAAAGTGCAGCCTCCGGATTATTGTGTCCTTCCTCCACATCAGTTCAGTCCGAACGTTTAACTCCAGATTTAAGAAAAAATACTCAATAGTCGTCTGTTAAATGTGGAATCTGGTCTGAACCTTAAAGGAACCTTTAACCTGTAAAGTTTCATTTTATTAGCAGCTGGTAATAAAGCTGACTGATGGTTGGTCTGACATACTTTTATTTACTGTGTTGGATCTACATTCAGTTTATTCTTCAGGATTACACAAAAAGTCCAGAGTCGATTTGCTCCAAACTCGGTAGATGGATGGGGGAGGGGCCAGGGAAGAACCCATTAAACTTTGGTGCCGATCTAGTTAAAGAGGCGGAACCAGGAAGTCTTCTTATCACCTTCCTGTACCTTGCGAGATTGGGCATTTTTCGCAGACCAGGGAACAGCCGCGACACGATTAAAGGCATAAAAATGAGAATGAATATTTCTGACTTTAACTTTGGGTAAAACAACCTGAGAAGGAAAAATCTAGTTTTGGTCGAGCTCCTCACACACTAGAGAGCACATGACCTGTGATGGACTTCACCTCTTTTTAAGGTGGTCACAAACCAGACGCTGTAATCTTTAGGCTGCACTGTCTCGCTCCCAGATGCTGCTGCATGTTGCTTCAGCTCAGGTCTGAATGATAAGCGTGTCTCTGTGTACCTGCTGACTCTGCTGGAGCAGGTGGTTGCCCCCGTGGATGTGGAAGGAGGCGGGGGCGGTTGAGGCGTCAGTGTTCACTCTGACGGTGAGGTCGAAGTCGTGAGACCCGCCGAGAGCGGCGAACGTGGACAGAGCCTGCAGAGCCACGACGGTGTCCTGAGAGACGAGAAGAAGACGGAGCCTCACACATCTGCTCCAACATGTTCTGCTTTGATATCCTGCTGCTGATTTCCTGTTTACAGATGTGTACATCTGTCTGTGTGTCTGTCTGTGTGTCTGTCTGTGTGTCTGTCTGTCTGTCTGTCTGTGTGTGTGTGTGTGTGTGTGTGTGTGTGTGTGTGTGTGTGTGTGTGTGTGTGTGTGTGTGTGAGAGTGGAGCTGCGTTTCTGCCGTTTCACATGTGTCTGTGCATCTGTGGACAAATGGAGGAATTTGTCTTCCTGAGAAAAAGCTGTTTTATTCCTTGCACTGTATCTGGAGCCTCTGACACATTATTTAGATGTTTTTGTTTCTCTGTAGCATCTGTCATGCATGTTTGTGTCCATGCGTGCTGAGGGATTAATTATCCTTTAGTCACCACATGCTCAGACGGCCACAAACTCCCTCTGATGTGACACGAACCACAGTTTGAAGCTGAAATGACAAATACGGGAATTTCTCCATTTGCACAAACTTACATCCTTAAATAAAGTTCACTTTCTGTTCTGATGTTTGTATCCGACGTTCTAAGCCACAAGGATGCACATGCACATGTAAGACGGAGGTGATGGGGGGGTGAACCTCTCTGCAGTTGGTCATCAAAAATGATCAAAATTTAACAAGATAATAAGATTGTAAGATTGTATTTTTTTTAAGCCTGTTTTATTATTTTCTGTTCAGGTTTTATTTTCGATGCCAAGATTCACCGTTCCTTCCCCATGGTCACTGCAGTTTGTGCCATAGAGCACTTATTAGGGACTATTTTCAGCATCGGATTAATTCACATTTGGTGTTCTAGCAAGTATCTGGGGCAGCATGAGGGTGTGTGTGTGTGTGTGGGACAAAATAAACTACAGTGTGTGTTCATGTTGTCGATAATGAATAAAGTAAATTATATTGACACATTTAAAACATCGTATTAATGATATGAAATTGTCTTAACTCCATTGTTTTTGTTTTACTTACTGGAATCAGCTGAGATAAAAACCAAACAACTGAAACTAAAACTAGTGTAAATGTGCAAATGATTTGTTTTGACATCATCATGTTTTATGAGACCGTGTTGATGTAATTCTGTTATTGAATTTCAAGATCTGAACCTGAGTGCTTCCGAATCCTCCCCTGTGGTTCCTCTGCTGACTGAGCCACTTCATGAGGCCGAGACCGTCCGCCACGTGACCCAGTTTGTACTGAGCGAGCAGCAGGTAGGACGCCATCTCCACGTCTGCGGAGCGAGGCTGCCACGACGACGACAGGCCGACATCTGGGGAGGACCACGTCGGCACGCCGTCTAAATCACAGAGGACAGACAGAAGAAATGCAGCCATCTTTAAAATATGAAGTCGCTAGCTGTTTCCCTTTGCTTCCAGTCTTTATGCTAAGCTACGCTAATTGCATCCTGGCTCCATCTCCAAGCTTAATGCACAGACCTGATGTTGATATTGACAGTAAATAAGGGCAGTTCCCAAATTGTAGAACTATTCCTTTAAACACACATCAGCTGTTACCGTACCTCTCATCTCAGCTCGTCCAATCAGCTCACTGAGAGCCGTGTCGGCGCTGGAGCTGCCGGACAGAGCCAGGGCGTAGACGAGCAGGCTGAGGCTGTAGTTACTGGAGACGCCCAGAGCCAGACGAGTCTCCAGGAACAGCAGGGCCGCTGACACCTGGCTGCCGTACTGAGCCTGACAGACAGAGAACAGGGCAGCAGCGCGTCATCACTTCAAAGGCACTTATGAGATCAGAGCATAAAGACGCGGCGTGATGAGGCGACATCTTTGGACCTGAGAACGTCGGTCTTGTTAGGAGGTTGTGTTTAAACACATCTGTGGACACATTAGTTTGTCCACTCCATGTTGTTACAGACTGCTCATTAAGATCAAACTTTATTGATCCCTGTGGGGTTAACAGACAGTTGGCCGTTTTGTTACATGTGGTCAGAGAGTGTAAGACTAACTGTTTGTCTTCGGTAGAGAAAAGATAAATACCAAATACTCACCTCAGAATCAAATGTGGATCAATCCGCCGCTAAAAATAGTCCCTAACTTCCTCCTGTCTGAGTGAAGCTGTATGTGACTCTTGAGGCTGGGAGCCACAGGGTGAGGCGAAAAATATAGAAATAACTTCTATCTAAATGTATCTAGGATTGTTTATTATCTTCTCATCAGCTTGTCGGTGTATGAAGCACTGAGCGGCGCTGAACAAACAGACTGACGGACGCATCGACTCTCACCCTCATGTCAGTGTCCTCCAGCAGGGCGATGAGGACGTAGGCTGTCAGGGAGACGGGGCCGTCCTGGCCTCCTTGGAGCTCAGTGTGGATGACCCGGCCGGGCTCCTCGAACCTCCCATCAGCCCCCTGCTGGAATCCTAACCACGCCGCGGCTTTGTGCAGCACGTTGGCGTCGATGCTGATGAACGGCCGCGCCTGCAGGAAACACCTCAGCACGAACGCCGTCAGCCTGCGGAGACAGAGTTTCTCTCATCAGTGTTTGTGAAAAGCTGCAAGCTGTCCACATTTCAAGCTACATGCGTGAACTTTATAACACACCAGGTGCTTCCGGATGAGTCCTGGTCTCCGAACGCGCTGAAGGAGCCGTCCACTCTCTGATAGGACAACTGTCGCTCGTAACCTGAGGAAGAACAGGATATACTGTATGTCAGGAAGTCACATCAAATTATGATTATTTTACTCAGAAACAAAAACTGTCTCAGTAAATCAAGTTGTGAATTATGTCGAATCAAACAGCTTGTTTTTATATTAGTTGAGTGACTCGTTTATCTGTGTTGTTAAAAGTAGAAATACACAATCCTAAAGAAACTCGTTTAAATCACAGTCTGTAAATAAAGATGGACGACACCTCTGTGACGTCAACCACAGGTTTCTGAAGCTCAGAGTGAGCTGCTTCACCATCACCATCTTGGCAGCATGTGACTTCGCCCCCTAACTCCCAGCTAATCCAAAAAATGGACAAAGAGGAGGGGCGAGTGTGGAGCTGAGATTTACATACGCTCACCCACCTGTCACTCAAAGAGGCCACGCCCTTAATCCTCCATAACTTTAGTCTTAATAAAATGTAATCAGGTGAGTTATATATACAGGTGAAATTAGCCCGAGAGACCAAAACAGTTTTTGTAACAGGCTGTAAACATGTTGTCTGCCGTAAAATTGGACATTTTAACATGGGAGTCTATGGGGACTGACTCACTGTTGGAGCCAGACTCTAGTGGTCGTTAGAGGAACTGCAGGTTTTAGCACTTAACGTTTTTGTAAATGCAGTTAAAACAAAAACAACCTACTGGTGTGTTCACAGCTCCTTGAACCTGGACATCAATGTTAGAAATTAAGTTTTTACATTTGTAAATTTCTTACTTTGGCGCCACCCTGTGGAACTACCAAGAATTGCAACTTGGCAAACAGCGAGCGCCTTTTTACAACGTAACATCTCATCTGAACACACACACATGTGGTACACACATTTTTAGATTCAGTTTGAAAAGCACAACCTAATACTAATACAAATATTTACTATTTTTCCGACACCTATAAGTGGCAATAATAATTACGTTTTTTGATATTAAGGGAAGCTGTGAATCTCAGTATTTATTTCATGGATTTTTCTGTATCCAGTACCTTTCTGAGGTTTGGTGGATGTGAACACGACCTCTTCTGCTCTTCTCAGAGCTGGTTATGACTCACGAGTATGTTACCTTGACATAATCCACGTCCTAATCTACCTTTCATCATGAAGTCCTCGGCTCTGTCCGTGGCGTCCTGGCTCGTCTGTCCCGTAGCGCTCAGGTACTGCAGGACGTAGACGTTTGGCGCGAAGTTGATCATGTTCTGTTCGCCGCAGCCATGAGGCATCTGGATCAGAGAGTCCAGGCCGCTGATGGACGGGCCGAGGATGTCGCCTTCGTCGCCATGGAAACCAGAGAAATTAGGACACGGTGAGAAGCACCGGGGGAGAAGAGTCAGTCAACCCATCAGCACCAGTTAAATGTTTATTTAAATGTTTGTTTTAATGTAAATGTTTATTCAATTATCTATGCACGCTCAACCCTGGATATTCAGGTCTTAAAGCTGCAGTGCACAATAACTAATGTAGGTATCAGAGCTTATTTCACATCAGTGTGTATTGAACAGAGCTGCTGTTTCTCCTCCGTCTTCTCGTGTCGATCAGCTGGCTGCTCTCATCTGATTGGATGTGTCAGCTGTAAACTCTGTCTCACAAGGCCAACTGTATCTAAGAAACCTCACAGAGTGTGAAGTCATCTTTCCACCGATCACATCAACGACCAGCTGCCTCATCACAGGGTTCCTCCTCGTCGCTCCTGACACGACACTTAACCTTTAACATCACGAAATCGTCAATAAATATCTTCCATGTTCAACACGGGAAAAGTGTGAGCTCAGCCTGCTGCTGCATGTGGAGTTGCACATGTGTTTTCATGTTGCACGTCTGCACCTTGTTACATGGAAAAGTACCGCCGCGCAGCTTGCTGTTTGAACACGTGTGTTTCGTGTTTTCATCGCCCTAAAACATGAAGAAACTACCTCTGGTTATTATAACCCGTGTTGTTTAGCACACGTGTGTGTCTGCTGTTTCAAACATGCTGGAGTCCATATGTGTGACAAACTGCAGGTTTGTGTTGTCTCTCAGTTTTGAGTTTATTCCAACTTCAACAACAAAGAGTGGATTATGTCTGTATCTATTAATTACATATGGTTTCACTTTATTTTTCACATGGTGGTTTCCTTTATTTCTGCAAACTAGTGAGTTGTCAAAATAATCTTTCATCTACATCTACTCTTAATTAAGGCTAAGCCACAATAAAATTAACTAACAGGAGGAGGAGGGGACATTCATTTTACAGTATTCTGTGACTTAAGTAAAGAAATGGGACAGAAACTTGCATTTAAAACCTTATTTCTAAACATTTAAAGGAGCTATTTGTTGGCTATGTGTAAGTTTTGCTATTGCTACATAGCTAACGTTAGCATTAACAGCGGTTTACTAACAAGTCTTGCCAAGAGTCTCAGTTTACAAGACATAAGGTTATAATACGTCCTCTGAGCAGCCTGGACTTCACAGTGACTCGGTATCGGAAAGTGAGGTGAAAGGCCGGGCTAGCTGGTGATATACATATATGTTTAGCAGTCACAGTATCAGAGTCATGTGTACACACTTTTGGGCCAGTAGTTTAATGGCTGAGTGGAAAAACAAGCTGAACTTTGGATCATACGTTGTGTTTTTGAGATATATTTTAATCCTGTTGCTAGTTGGAAATCAATTGCTTTCTTTCGCTCTGTTGTTTAAAGGAATCAGCCTGAGACCTCAGGGCGTCTGAGCCTGAATCTGTTTTCCCAGGTTGTGACTCAAGGTTCTTCCTCGGTGTGTTTACATACCGACGGCCGTCACTGAGGCTCTCTCGCTGCCCTCCACCACATCTGCTGGGAAGGTGAACGTGACGCGTCTGGAGAGGCTCGACTGCGATGCAGAAAGCTCAAACAGCAGCGAGGTGGAGAACGACTGCTCGAGTCCTTCGGCCTGCAGAATCCACAGGCGTGAGAAATGGACGCACAACACACAAACAAACCACGGTGAGTAATATTTCTGGGAAAGGCAGAGCTGTAAAACGAGATCAAGATTTCTCGGGTTACAGTGGAGCAGCAGATGAGGTTCGATTTCAGTGGAAGATTTTCTCTCTGTTTGTTTTGGAGCTGCGACAGTTTGACGGACACGCCAATAAACACAATCTGACACGTTCAGCTCTCACTGGCGATGACGTTTGGTTGAGAGAGACACTGAACCTCTGACCTCTCGCCTCACAGGCTGCCTCACTTTCAGTTAAAAGCATCAGATTTTAATGGAAGTGGAAGCAGCTTCTGCTCGTATCAGTGTGAAACACACAACCAGTGGTTCTTAATCTGCTGCTCACCCTTAAATCTGACGGGTCACAAGATCATTAACAACATCTTTCCTGACTTTTCTTCAATTTTGGTGTTTGGACGCTTCAGTTGTCAAAATTTAACAGTATGAGAAGGAACGTCACTATGAATATGATCATATCTTCAGTTCCTGTAAAACTTCATCAGCGCTGTTCCACACTTGGGTCATGTGACGACACGATCATGAGAAGCAGTTTAGTTTGATGACAACAGATTTATGGACCTGAGAAGCACAGGAAACCATGAAGGAGCATTTAATCCTTCAAAATAAAACAAAAATCAAGTCTTATTATTTTCCATTATGAATTAGTGTTTATGTAACAAAAAAAAGCTAGTTGTTTACCTCTGTTTCCAGTCTTTATGCTAAGCTAAGCTAACGCGCTTCTGGCCTTAGCTTCATATTTAGCATAAAGACATATGAGTGGTATCAATCTTCTCTATTTAACTCTCAGCAACAAAACAAAGAAGTGTGTTTCCTCTTCTAATTCAACAAACTTTTCGCATTTAAATGTTTTTTTTTAACTTCATCATATATCCTTCCACAATAAATACACATTTATTAAACATTATATATTGACTGATATTCAAGGAATCCACATCAGCAGCTTTGAAAATAAATATTTCTCCTGTTGTGTCGAGCCAAAAATAAAAAATCTGAATTATTTTGCCTTAGTTTGTTTTGGTTTCTTATGTATTTATTTTATCCTTTAATATCTTATTTAATTTGTCATATTGTGTTTGTGTTCATTATTCGGTTTGTTTAGTGTGACTTACTGTGTTAAGTTTGATCTGTGTTTATTGTTTTGTCTTCTGATTATTTATATAATATTTTTCTTCAAGAAAAAAAAAGAGACAAAAAAAGAAAAAGAGAAAAGAAGAAGTGTGTTTCCCAGATTGTTGAACTATTCCTTCCACACTTACATACTGCTGATAAATGCCAAATATGGGGATTAAAGTAAAGTGTTTCTAAAATAAGAGATAAATAAGGGATTTATTTGTGATATATATTAGGTTATAACTACAGAAGTACTAATTAGCACCTTGACGAGCACCGTCGTTCGGACCGAGTCAGACGCCGCAGACGACACGGCCTTCACAGAGACGGGGATTTCTCCGAGGACCAGCGGCCTGATGGGAACGAGGACGGACGTCCCGCTCTCTCTCCCTACAGACACCCGACGAACACTGGGCATGGAGAGCTCCTCGTTGTCCGGGAAGACGAACTCAAAGGCGCCACTCTCTGCGACAATCACCATGACCTGCCAACAAAGAGCGAGAGAAGACACCCAGATCACGTTGAACCAAGTACAAAGAGCGAGGGAGGAAACAAAAGAAGCATGTTGTTGTAACCAAATATCAAATTAAAGAAGTAATTATGAGAACAACAGCTCTCTGAGGGGCTGATGTGAGCTTTTATGAAGCTTTTATGTGTTGGAGGATTTGAAGATTAAAGAGTTCCTGGGTCATGTCTGTCTCATGTCCTCAGAGGAAACAGCAGACGGCGTTAAAACCACTGATGCTACGTTAGATTGCAGCAACCTGACGCCTAAACAACCTCACTGACCCTGTGAACCAGATTTAGTCACCTGTAATCAAACACCTGCTGTCGGTACACAGTGACATATATCACACGGTTAGAGTAAACAGATCAAACATCACTTTCATTCTGCCTTTTATGGTCACAGGGACATACATCTTTTAAAACAGCTGGATGAACATCAGGTGTGTGTAGCCTCTTTGGCAAGTAAACGTCCAGTCAGGAGGACTGTCCGTCTTTATTCTTTCTTTAAGTACAGAGAGTGAATAAATGGAGAGATCCATTCACATCGATCCACATGTTCAACCATTGTTCCTCCCTCAGCACCACCAGACTGACCCGACTCCTCTGGGGGATATTCCTCTATGACTCATGGCGTGACTACCCCCGACAGAAATGATGACGTCACGAATCCCCGAAGACTGCTCACTTTTATCTTCAACTATTTCCTATTTCCCTTTTATAGCCTGTTTTTACTTCATCTTCTAGCATCTCTATCTCAAGTGGTCCCCTGAGAAACGGCAATGAGGAATCGTGGGTAGCCAAACACTGTAAAAATATTCATGGGAATAACCCTGATGGAGCTGGAGCGTGGGTGATGATCCCTCAGTCCATTAAATGAGGAGACTTGAGAAATGACGTCTGAGGGGAAAAGTTTTGGATTTCCACATTTAAAATAAAATTATAACCAGGACTTTATAAATATAATATAATAATATATTCTACTTTTTTATTATGGAGTTTTATTTATGTTGTCTTTGTCACTTGGACGTGTTTAATAATGGTATCCTCGTGTACTGTTGAGATAAACTGTATGTATTGGGAAGCCTTCTCATTAATCTTCAATCACTCAGTCACATTTATGAATCATCATTTTTCATCATCATTCACACACAACAGCAAATTTTCCATCTATAAAATACAAGCACGTGCATTAACAGAACTAATTGTCATGGAGAGTTGTTTTCTTATTGTGATTTTTAAGTGCTTCATGTAGATCATAAATTACACACTCACAATCTGTAAAATCAAATTAAATGGTGGAGGGTAAATTTAGTGCACTATGTAGTAAATAAGGAGTGATTTTGGACACAGCCCTTGCTAAGTCTTCTTCCAGGTTTCCATCCACACACTTGAAATTTACTTGTATCGTGTCATTGGACGTGTAAGTGAGTGTGTTTGTGTCCTGATTGCTTTTTGCTCTGTCATCCAGCCCAGCTGTGTGAGGAGCAGCAGACTGACCTCCAGGTCCTGCGGGAGGTAGTTGAACAGAATGATCTCCAGCAGCAGCTCCTCTCCTCGGATGATGTAGGCCGGCAGATTCAAGGACAGGAAGAAATCCTGGAACACTGTGAGCTGCAGGGACGTCACATGGAAACGACCTCAGCAGGTGTTAACACTAACAGGGCAATATACAACCTGAATACTAACAACTGAATGAAGTATTTATAAATCTTTTATGTGCTCTTGTATAATACAAGTCTGAATAGAAATAAGAAAATAACTCAAATTTTCAAAGTAATAAAATAAGGAGCATTATTATGTATTTTAGGGGAAGTCACTGAAGTGATATAAATACCTGTGCTGGCCTCTCTACGATGCCCAGACCCAGGTTCTCAGACATGACGAAGGCGGTGGCAGTCCAGGTTGTGATGGTGTCTGGTACAGTCAGGGTTATCTCTGCTGTGTCTGAATTACTGCGATAAAGACAAGAAACATGATTTGTAATATAAAACAATAGTTTAAAACCAAAGGGTGCAGCATCTATGTCATATACCTCATGTTTTGGTATTAAGTTTGGTGTCAGTGAGTCATGAGATTCATTGCAGACTGCAGGTTGAGCTGATCGTTAAGTTTTTTTGTAGTTTTCTTTGCAGTAAACCTCATTGTTGGCTTGTTAATCTTATTAGAATAAACAGGGGTATCATCTGCATAGAGACGCATTTTGCAGTTTTTCTGGTCGCACCCATGGGACACTTTGGCCGTAGTAGCTCTCCTTGTGTGTTGTGGTCTGTAAAGGACTTAACCTTCACACAACCTTGACAAATTATACTTTGTTTGAAAGCCTCAAGTCTCCTGATTGTATTCGTTCATCACTGAAACAGCTGCTGACACAGAGTTTCTTCAAGAGAATTTCTCCAAAGTTGTTTTCCTCACAAAAAGTACTATAACATGCTTTATATTGGCTTTTTATGCCATTTCTATCATGTTTGAGTCTCTGTAACTTTGGTTTAGTATCTCTTATACTCCTTTTGACTTTTTGATTGCAAAGTTTAAAGAGGTACCTTTCAGAGGAGACTAGGGTTATGACTTTAATGACTGCAATCAAAAGCGTTGAAGACCGTTGAAGTTACATTTTTGGGCTTGTGAACACACATAGCTGCATCTGGTAACAGTTTAAAGTACCATATAAGTGACTTGACATTATGTCCATCTTCTACAATCTATGTAGACGTTTAAAATTCCTCCCTAACAATGAGAAGAGATTCACCCTGTGTTGGTATCCAGCCATATCCAGGTCTCTGGAAACTTCCACCGCTCTCGTGGCTCCTGTTGTTGCTGTACATGAGGACCGTCTGTCTGCTCCATGTCATATATTCCCTCCCCTGCTGTTTGGAAGATGAGCGTCAGTTATATTAGATTTGCATAGTCGCATTTGTCGTAATATTTAATTGAGTGTGAGAGGCAGGCAAGCTTTTGAATAATGTTGATTATTAAAACTTACGAAATACAGGCTTCAGCGGATTTTGCATCATATGTAAACAGGCATCAGTCAGTACCACAAGATCACATGTCTGCACAAAGACAAGGAAGACGTGAAACACACTTCACTCCAGATACTTCAAATACCTTCAACAGCTGCTGCAGCCACAGGTTCTATTTACATGAACAAAGTTTTACATTCTGAGCTGAGGTGCGCCATGATTACTTTGCTAAAAATTTAAATAAATAAATTAAGAACACAATGAACACTAGTTATTAGTAGTTAGTAGTAGATTTATTATCATTATTCCAATGATGTATTAGAAGGAACATATGTATAACTCAGAAACTGGGAAAGCTGGTGGTCACACCTGTTTATTATTTTATTGGAGGACTGGTTTAAGGGGAGGCAGACACTGAGCTATTTCATTAATTGACATACAGTTCTGATGGAAACAGGGTATCTATCGTTATCTTTTAAAGTAACACTCTAGATCAAGACTTTGTTCTGAAAACAAACAAAAGCTAACCTTGAAGACAGAGTATGGATCTCCCATTGTCAACATGTCAGAGTAGGCGTCGGCCGCGGAACCAACGTACTCGTTAATCTCCTCCAGCACCTGTGAAAGCAACACCGGCAACATCCTATTGTCACAGACTACAAAGACCAACAACACTAAGCGGGACACAAAAAGAGCACTTATTGTTTAAAACCAGTTTGACCGAGCTGGGATGAAGCAGTTCATGGTGCTTTCATTCACGCTGAACTGATACCGGGGTGGGGGGCAGCAGATTGGGTTTCATAGGTGCACCTGCAGGGGAGGTTATACCAGAAAAATAAGGGTGTGAGGGTGATGGACATATAGTTGGAGATGTGTTACTGCTAGAAAATATTAAACCGGAGAAGACCCCGGGGAGTTATAGAAGCTGCTGGTGTTCACTGTTATATGACCAACAAACAGACCACGGTCCTTACAAGACAAGAAACACGTGAGTCAAGGCTCCTAGATTCATCTCTATGACTGAGGCTCAGACTGAAGACTCAGTCAGCTGCTTCACCGTCAGTGTTTGTGAGAAAATGATCAATAACAGGTCAATAAATACATCATAACTTCAGTCAAGAGGTTTATGAATCCCATGATGACAAATAGCAACTGTAGGATCATTATTGATTAACACACAATAATGGTCATTGTGCATGCTCACATGAGGATGTTTAGCTATAACATTTACCATGTTCATGATCTTCAGGTTAGCACGCTAATGCTATCTAATTAGCTCAAAACAAAGTACAGCAGAGGTTGATGGGGATGTGGTCAGTTTGGAAGGTGTTTGGTCGTAAACCAAAGTACTGAACACTAACATCTTTACCTTTATCAGAGTCAGAATCAACTAAATCAATAAAGCTGTGCCTCAGCAGTGAGTCAGCAGTCGTTCTCACCCTCTCCTTGGTGATGTCGTTGCGTGATCCCGTCCACTGCGTCGCCTTGTCGACCACCAGGATCCCGACCAGAGAGCCGGGCTCCTCCACCGCGACCCTCAGTGTGACCTCTTCAGCTGGTCTGCTCATAGTATTGCTCCAGCTCAGAGACACCTGCCAATCACAGATGCATCAGGTATAGTAGCCATCTGATTTTCCTCCAGAAAACTGGTTTGCAGAGGTGAAACATGTTAATGAGTGTTGAATTCTTTTGTTTTTGGATTATAACATGATCAAACTTCAAGACAATTAAGTCTATAAGACCGTACTGTAAAACCCCTTGTCACCACACAAAATCATGAATTTATTTAAAGAGTAAGTAGGGGTTAGTTTCACACATCTTAATACGTATGTTTTTATTTGTGTAGGTGCGTTATTTAATTGAGGCAGTCCGTCCCCTGTTCTGTAGCTGCCTGTTGACTGAGAGTCAAACTGATCCATTAACTTCCTCTTTTTCCAAACATGTCACAAGCTTCTCCTTGACTCAGTCTGAGCAAATTAACAATGCTGCTCTTGTAATGCTAGTTAGCATTAGCCAACTAGAACTCTGCTTTTTGTGTTCACTGTTTTTTTCCACCTTGATGACATCATACTCACAGTCATCAGACTCACACTGCCAGGCCCATTTAAAATACTACTTTGTACCTTGTTTCGTAAAGTTTGGGTGATGGGCAGCTGGAGCACGTCGTTGACGATCTCTCCATCAGGATGGACACAGTAGACGATGACGCAGGCCAGAGGAGCCCAGGAGATTTCTGGGACCAACGTTAGAGCACCTGAGCTCTTCCCAGCAGAAACCACCTGACCTCTGGACTTCACCTTCACACACAGAAAACACATGAAAACTGTTATTCAAAGTGCATAAATCTGATATATTAGAATATTTGAGGTGTAAAATGGTCTGACATACTGTGCATTTCTAAAGTTGTATGATAAACTTTATCAATATGACATTAGTTGACTATTAGTTGATTATGTTGACAAAGTGTCACAAGTTGTTGAACATATGCAGTGTGAAAACACAAACATTAGAAACAAATAATTGAAGCATGCTCGCTGAGTATCATCATAAGTTTCTTACTATGTAGTGAATCTCGGTTATTGGAAAATTCCCTTCAATGTGCAGCAGGAGCGGTGAACCAACCTGAAGGAAGAGAGGATGGTGATATATCATCCCACCAACGACAAAATATGTTTAATGACTTTTGTCCATGTGTTTACCTCTGGAGGTCTGGCGGGTTTCTGAACCTGCAGGTAGGAGTGACTGGGGGATGTGTAGCTTCTGTAGAGCTGAAGAGTGCTTTGGCTGTCCTCAAAAGAAGCCTGAAAACATGTGACGAATATGTGAAAAAGACTTTACTTTTCTGTGCTAGTACTAAATAGTTTTACAGAAAATCTTCTTTAGCATCTCCTGCTGACTTGAAAATCGCAGTTTGATTTTGACCCAATCATAAACTGATTTGTCATTTGTTTCCATTCAATGCAGGATGATACACTGCTTCACATTTCAGTGAATCCCCTCAAGGCATTGTGTTCAAAATCCACGTTAAATATTTGTCAGATTGAGGATGGCCGGACCCAAATGCAGACACTGCAGGACGTTGCAAAACCTCCAAGGGAACTAAAACAGACGAACTCACAAAGACAGAGAGGAAGACAGAGACTTAAATACACAAGGGTGAGTGAACACAGGTGAAACACATCAGAACGGGACAGACAATCACATTGGAGGGAAACAGGACAAAGACAGGAAGTAAAACTAACATGAGACACACAAGGGAAGTGATGACAAAATAAACCAGGAAAGGAACAAATGTCCAAACATAAAGAGTTGAAATCCAAAGAGTTCAAACTGAGAGTCAACATTAACAGTCCTGTGAGGGCAAACCGTGACAATATTAATTGTATAAAATTATCACTGTTTTAATCTTAATAGTCCACTACGGCACAAGACTTTAATCTATTTTTCCCGTAGGAAATTATACGCCAAACATCAGTTAAACTGTGACACTGTCATGTCTTTAATGTTGTTACTTACATCAATGGTGAGTGTTTCAGTTTCATTCATGACTTGAATGAAGAGGGGTATGACTCCATCTGCAGGGACAGGAAACGCCATGTCTTTAGGCGGCATCTCCTCTGGGTGGGGAGGCGTTCTCGAAGGGCCTGACACGTGTGATGAACGAGGCATCATTTCTTCTATCTCGTTCATTTTCCAACTCCACGGACTTTGCTTTCGTTGCATCACTGACATTTGAACCATCTTTAGCTGATCCTCCATTGACAGCGGTTCATTGTTGTATGTACATATTTTCAGCTACAAAATTAAGAGGTTATTAACTTTTAACTATTGGCAATATGCTTTATTTACAAATATAGAGCAGTGTGTAAAATCTATTGATTTACTGCATTTTGAAGATGTAAATTTGCAAAGAAAGTGGAGGAAGTGCATCACAATTAATCCTCCTGATGATCTTAAATAGATAAACACTGAAAAAATACACTGAGATACACTGATAAAAAATGTTGTTTTCCTTACCCTGGCAGTGAAGTTTAACGAGGGTCTCAGTATTTGTGGATAACCATCAAAGGAAAGTTTATATTTGTGTTTTGCCAGAGACACCTTTGTCGTACTGAGATATGTGCGACCTGAAAGATGAGAAGCATTAGCAACGATCAATAATATACAGCATCAGTAAAATCTGATTAACATCAAAACCACTGTAGATTAATAAACAGAAACTGTGAGCAAAACATAACAGAACTATAAACTGGCAATGAGGATGGTTGGTGAATAGCCTACTCTATATGGCAAGCTAACTGCTAACATGCTAGCCAGCCAAGACATGCAAACGCTAGCTAATCTGTTAGTTTCTATTTTCTTCTTACTTGGCCACAATTCCTCCTTGCATTTTTTCTCAGGATTACAAATAATTTAAGAGTTTTAATGAGGATGAGATAAAAGCTCTTTAAGCTAACAAGCTTGCTAACTATCAGTTAGCTCAGTAGCTAACAGGACATTAAGTTCACACAGTTTATCACAAGACTTATTTGCGCCATTGTACAATAACTGTTTGTAAAACACGTCTCCGTTTTGGAGCAGTTTAACAAGAGGGTTAAATAAAAGGTGATGGTGCTAATAAGTTACGATAGCTTAAATATTCCACTTGGACATTTAAAAGCATTGTGCCCATTTACTTTGCCCCAAGGAGCAAATTCATGTTGAATGCCATTTTAAATTTGGGTGTGACCAGACCTTAAATGTTGTTCCCAAGCTTTATCCACACTGCCAGGAATAATGTTCTGGTGTTAAAAAACAACAATGTACAGGAAGTCACATAAATAAGTGTGAGGCTGATTACCTGTGAGGTGTTCAGTCACATTAACCTGAATCGTCAGGAACTCGTCATTCATGTATTCATCATAGAAGACCATTTCTAGAGCTCTCTGATTCCTGGGGTTGTAGGTGGGAACATCAAACGTGAATTCTTCGGTGCCATCGATCTAAATTAAATAATACTTTTTCATTTCAATTTTTATATCTTTCATTTTCATTATCTATTGATCTATTAATTATATTTTTTAATTAGTCAAAAAAACGTTAAAAAAAACATTATGATAAATTTCCACGTCAAGTTTCCACATGTAAAGGTGACATCATCAAAACTCTTACTTCCTGTGACCATCAGTCCAAAAGTATTTTGATATGCTTGTTGTTTTAGCACTGGATACCACACATATTACATCTTGTAGTCAAATAATAATCAATATATTCATCAGACAAATCAAATTAAACCTTTAAATAGAATTACTAACCTCTCTATTTTCATTATAAACCTCTACAATACCATGAAAGTGATGAAGGAACGTTATATTCATGCGTCCCTGAACAGGTTTCCCGTACAGGTACCTGAGGATGAAAACACAATGATTTTAAATAATCATAAAGCCTCACTCACAAACAAGATCATCAATATTACTAAACAAACATGTAAATAAAAGTATCAACACTTCACTGAATGAAACAATGGTCTTACTTTGCTGTGACGGAGCCGTGCAGACTGTCCTTATGATAAATGACATCCGGGGCGTCAATCACAACCTCAAACTTTGGCAACACTGCAACCACACACACAAGATGAAGACACAACAAATAAAAACATATGAGTGTTTAATAATTCAACTTTAATTGTACAACAGAAAGAAGACGCCCACATAGGGGCAGAAACAATGTACAAACCATAATGAGCCACGTTGAAATGCTTCCCACTTGAAACACCCTGTAAAACAAACAGAAGATAAACCCTTTAGATTTAAGGAACAACATGACCTTTGCTCTGGCGCCACCCTCAGGACAAACTGATTACAACATACACTGCATATCTCTTCCTCCTTGTTAGAGTTCATACATGTTTCATCCTACAGTCCTTATAAAAACCCAACGCCCTTACATTGACTCCAGTGACAATGGTCCATTCACCCAGAGGAGGGTTTTCAGACAGCTGGAACTCTTTGGACACGACCCCGAGGACGCTGTCCACGGACAGCCACTGTCTGAGCACGTTTCCCCTCGGGTCCTGCATCACGGAGGACACGCACACAGAAAAAAGTAATTATTATCCACGAGCAGTAGATCGGCAGATGAATCTATAATGAAAATCATCATCATCATCATCATCATCATCAGCCATAACATCATATGTAGAGCTGCTGCTGCTGCTGCTGCTGATGATGATGATGATGATGATGATGATGATGATGATGATGATGATGATGACTCTCATTCATACCTGTAGCTCATGAATGATGGATTGTTGTGGTGGATATTTTTCGACAGATTTTGTTTGTTAAGAAGTTGAATATTGTAAAGATTAATGTCCCATTCACTCTTGTTACTGTCTCTCATATTCTTTAGGTGAACTTTTCCTTTCTAAGCAGCTGTGACCTGCGCAGTGCACACTAACTAACTGCTTTATCTACACGTTACCTCAGGTGTGTGCTGAAGCATCCAGGCTTCTTCCCTTCAGCCTCCTCTGACGACCACACATCGTTTAATTCACGTTATTTCTGGAAATATTTTCATCTTTGTAAAGTTTGTTTCAATCTAAGACAGATAACGACCTTTAATGTGACGCTGATTAACGGTCAATACAACACCTGGGAAGCGGAGTGATACATGTGGTTAAAAGTCCCAGTGCTGTTATACTCTATATCAGCGCTCATGGAGTGACTCTTGTCCAATCACATTACTTGGTCGGAACTAACTGTTGTATAAAAAAGCATTACACAACAGCCTGCGGCCTCGTACCTATGACCACATCACAGCCGAATCACAGCCGTGCTCATATGCAGTATCACTCCCTCTCGTGTGATACTACTTAAATATATTACTTATGTGTATGAGCGGGAATATTTGGAGTTATTGATAGTGTAATACAAAGAAAACAACATATCTAAATTCTGTGCTGGACACCTCTTAGTCCTGGCGTCAGACTCACTGTGATGATGAGATCCACCGGGCTGGTGTAGGGCCTCCCGTCGGGCTGAATGGACACCGCTCTGATCTTCACCACCTGCCCTGGCAGGTAGTTCAGCTTGTCTGTTTGAATGAAGGTGGAGAAGCCTTTGGGGTGAAAGTGCAGTTCTGTTGAGTTGGAGAAAACTTGGATGCCACCCACGTGACCTTTGACCTCCAGGCTGTAGGGGTGCCAGTAGCTGGACTCGCTGTCGGGGATCTGCGGGGACGCAACATGGAGGAATTGAATCAAGAAATTAATCTGACGCTCGACACCTTTTGAAGAGACAAAAAATTCTGCAAAAGCCAGTGAAGAAAAATGGACCGAAGATGATTTCTTCTCTTAGAAATGCAAATCTGAGAAAGTGAAAAACCTGAAGGAGCTGGTTCCAATCTGAATTTAAAACTTCCCAGGCATCAGACTGAGGTGTGAGCTGTGGAGCAGATAACAGGCTGCTCAACATCTGCCCGACTTTAACTGGATTATCTCTGTTTCTGTTCAAAAGCATCAGTTCACACTTCAAAGAAAAGCGTCTCCTCCCAGCTGTGAAAACACACAGTCTCTGATTGTTCTGGGCTCATTTAGCAAGAAACCTGTCACCACTGAGAGAAGAAAATAAAACCAGAGACAGGTGGTGAAAAGTGAAGGAAACAGCTGTTTAGTACTTTACATTTTTTTAATTTGTATTCTCACTTTAATTTTATTTACTTGAGTAGTTTTTATTCTTGTACTTTTTTCTGTCCTGTGCTGCTGCAAATCCTGAATTACCCCTCTGGGATTTAAATAAACACTGATTTCATGTCAGTTCCCACAGAGGCCACCAGGGGGCCCCAGATCACAAGTTGTTTTGTCAGGTTTGAAACCATAAATACAGCCATAAATAACACAGTGGGGAAAAAAGATAATTATAGAATTATGTATTATATTTTTTAAAAAGATATTTAAAAGTATAAAAAATAATATATAATAAAATAAAAAAATATGTTTATATATGTGTATGTCATACTTACAGGTGGCAGAGTCAGCAGCTTAGTTGAACCTGTAAACAGAGAAAATAATTGACAGTGTGTTAAATTATTTTATACTGTGAGCATTTAAATCAGAGAATACAAGTACAATAAATAATTTACCTCCTTCGACTGTCACCGACTCCGAGGCCACGGTCTGGTTTCCATGAACAACGTGAGCAGAGACAACGACCGGTGAGGTGGTGAGGATGGAGACCGACACTGATGGAGGGACTTCAGGACGGAGGAATCTGGGGGTCAGCAGCAGGTAGGAGGGCCGAGGGCCAGGGCTGGAAAAACACATGAAGTCATGTGGTTGAACTCATACACTCTGCGGAGAGGCAGGTCTGAGGGAGACGGACGTTTCCTCCTCACAAATTCTTAAGAACCAATAGACTTCACTGTTTTCAGTGGATCTACTTTGTATTGAAAAGATACAGTGTCTCTGAAAACTGTTGAGTGTGATTATAACATAAAAAATCACCTCAAAATTATTTTTTTCATTTTATAAATCAATTCACCACGTGCAGTAATTTAACACTCAGCACTTTTCTGCTGCCGTTTTTTGTTTTTTGTTCTGATTGTACATATTATATTATTAAATTATTTCTCTTTTTTAAGTACATGATATTGTCATTCTGCAGTTTTTCTTTCTGTCACTTTGCTGCTGTAATACTAATACAAATTTCACCACTGTGGGACTGAAGGAAAATCTCATCTCATCTCATCTCATCTCGTCTTAATGAACCAATAAATTATGAAATAACTTAGCAAACTAATAAAATTCACTTTTATAAGAAAAATTCATCATCCTTATTTTTATATTATTGATATTCATATTCATTTAATTATAGGGAATTTCCTTTCAAAAATCATTTTTTAAAATCAGTTTTTATTTCATAATAGCATTTTACCAAGTGACACTTTTATTTCATGCTACTTTTTATTTGATAATGTAAATTTTTCATCGACTGTAATTGTGACAAATCTCTGTGATTACCAGTGATTTATTTTACAAATCAAATGATGTAATAATTTGACATAATAAAAAATATATGTGGATAATTACAAGAGCTTAATATGCATTAATCAAGCATAAAAAATGACTTCACCTCAGGCAAAAGTGTTATTTACTTTATCTTTTCATATATATATTTAACATTACAATTCTTCTTTTGTCAATATTAACCTGTGATCAGTTGCTTAAATTCAGCAACATGTGGGTGAAATCTGTATTAAATGTTATTTTAATGAAGCATGAACCATATAGACATGGGTTGACATTTGAACATTGTAAATAGGATATCTCAGTTTTGATATTGAAGGCCCTTTAAAAGGCCTGGTCCCTGGTTCTACCTGGACCTGCCTTTTACCTGAGTGTGGTGCTCTGGGCGGCGGAGAGGACGATGAGGCTGAAGAACCCCCACACCTGGAGACACGCCATGTCACGGATGAACCTCGCTCCACGAAGTCTGGCTCTGTTCTGGAAGCAGGTGATGTCAGCGACAACCTTCATACCTGCAAACGGTGGCCACACCCCCCACCACCTGATGAACTGAACCCGTGTCAGTTTACTTGAATTCCCTCAGGGAGGCTTTGTTTAAGAGCTGAGACTGGGTGTTTCCACACATGGGATATTTACACTGATCCCACAGAGGAAAATGTGCCGGTGATTTCATGTGTGATAAAGATTTATGAAGTCTGTACCTCAGTCCTGGTTCAGTCTCGCTGCTGCGGAGTCAAACAGTCACAGGGATCTTTCACCTGCTGCTCAACAGCTTCTGCATGGAGCTGGAAAAAGATGAGAAAACCCCATGAAACAGAGACGGCCTCCCAAGGGACCCCGACACCTGAGGGCCCAGAGTCTCCCTGTTCAATGAGTGTCAGCTAGGCTAAGTTTTCACTGGAACACAGAGTCCCTACAAAAACTATTCACAGCAGGGATTGAGGTTAAAAGAAGCCAAGGAAAAAACCAGACCAGAAAACCAACATCTCAAAAACCATTTGACAAATTAAAATTCTTGGTCCGAGGATCGTTAAAGTGATTACAATTCATCCTGATGGGGGTTTGAATGTGTGGAACAAATATCACGACAATCCATCAAACAGCTGTTGAGATATTTCAGTAAAGACCACAAATGTCCAGCTCAGGGTTCCCAACCTGGGGGTCGGGACACCAATAAAGGACAAGGCAAATCTGGAAGTTTACAAGATCATTAATGGGAAAGGAGAAAATATGTACAACTACCTGTGCTACACCACATTATGTTTATTTTTTCAGACTTTCCTCTTACCTGTTCTCATTTTCTTGTGAATAACTGGATAATTCAATTACATCTGAAAATTCTGACCAAACTTCATTGATCCCAGCGAGAGAGATGATTCTTTAATTGCAACCTCTGTTTTTAGTTCATTTTATGACAATGAAAGAAAACTTTTATTTTTAAAAAAAAAAAATAACTGGAAAAGAAAGGAAAAAAATACAGGCCACAAAAATATAAATACACACCTCACATGCGCAGTGTAGTACATCCCATCCAGCAGGGGGCGCCACTCCTCATCTCTTTGCCTTTTAGAGTGAGCCGATGTCTCTTTGCCCCCGTGAGGTGAAAGGACACACAGCAGCAGCCGAGATGACAACATTACGACCGTTTACCTGCGATGATTTGTTTAAATTCAACAATATGTGAGTGAAGTCTGGTCCGTTTTACGACTGAAAATGCGATTGACGTTACTCCTCAGAAGATCTGGTGTTTGTGAAGCGGAGAAACGTCCTGACATCCCGTGTTACTGTGTCCGGCAGCGTTAGCAAGGCTGAGCAGTGTGGTCACATCACATCGCCTCACAGCCCGAAACATCGCTGTGAATGTCCATAGAAATTAACTAAAATTAAGCGATTTTGCTATTATTATTAAAAACTAGACACTTTTAAACATATAATTTAAAACTGTTGTGGTTCGTAGCATCTTCTGTAAAATATCGGCTTACATATAATCAATCAAAAAACCTGTTGTTTCAGTAAAAGTTAGTAACTGCTTCCTCGCTAGTTAGCTAGCTACAACGAGCTCACAGTGGGCTGTAACCGTGTGAATCAGTTATTAATGTGTAATTTCATAGGAAAGTAATGAGTTTTGGTCGGGAACAGGTTTGCCGAATTTACCAATAATCATTACGAATATACATTTTATGAAGTCAGCTGTTTCAGATTAATCATCATAAATAACATTTACATTGAATAAAAAAACCTGAAATTATTGGATTGAGTTTGGTGTGTTTGTCTCCTCGTGAAATATTTGACCATTTTCATATTAACTAATGTTTGTCTCGTCTGTCCTACAGTAACCTGGATCCTTTGACAGAAACTGTATCCTTCATTTTCAACTGAATGTCATCTGGACATGTTGCTCAGCTTATTATTCAGTGCAAATATTGGTTGTTTTCATGTTAAAAATTAAATTACACACGGTTTATTTCTCTGGATCATGATTATATCAGTTTCTGATATTAAATCTGTCCTCTTGTTGTCAGCTGAGTCGGTCCATCTTACTGAAACTGATCCAGTCTGCACTAAACTCCACCCTTATGCAGGTTGTAATGTTCAGTTTGTGTTGAAGCTGTTTCTTTGACCTTTGACCCTCAGTATGGGATCCCATTTTACCTCCAGTACCTGGCTCACTGGCCGGAGTACTTCATCGTTGCAGAGGCTCCAGGCGGTGAACTGATGGGCTACAGTAAGTTCCTCTGTTCTCTGAGGGTTTGAGATTTTACTGGATAAGATGGTTCAGTGCTCATTACGATCATTTCTTTAAAAAAAACAATTCCACATTTTAAGCTCAGTTACTCTCAGAACATGTGTAAATTACACATGGGTAATTTCCCCAAGCATATAATTAAATTCCCCAAACATATTAATCTGAAAAGTCCTCTCTGTAAACTCTCTGTATCCAGACTGACTTTTCTTTTTTAAATTCTCTTTTTTCATTTACTTGATAAATCATGTCAAAATGAAGACAAAACAGCCCAATAAAAGCCTATATACATACATGTATACGGTATATATACTTTTAAACAATATACAGTTCTTTGCTTTTTGACTCTTAAACATTTAATGTACATAAATATAATTCCAGAATAAATTTAAGCATGTACTAATAAAATAAATAACGGCTGAATTCCATTTAAACCACTATTTCAAATTAAAAGTATGCTGTGTGTCGTTAATTAACCTTACTTCACTTTATCATATTGTTGTGGCATAACAAAATAGACCCTCTGTAAATCTTACTTGATGTTGAGCTCATGGCGGATTCATTCGTTCTCTCGCAGTCATGGGGAAGGCGGAGGGATCTGTGGCTCGGGAGGAGTGGCACGGCCACGTCACCGCTCTGTCCGTCGCTCCGGAGTTCAGAAGACTCGGCCTCGCAGCCAAACTCATGGAGATGCTGGAGGAGATCTCAGAGAGGTTTGTGGATGAATATTGGTTTTGCTGTCAGGTCATGTTGACGTATGGGTAACAAAAAATGTATTGTAAAATTTTATGTAATTTTATTCTTAATTTCAAAGGTCTGACTTTTATTGCTTCTGCTCTGTGAATGTTTCTTTATCACTGCCCAGGAAACATGTTGCATGTCAACACTTATTTACTGTGACTTCTCATGTCGTGTTGTCCTGTAGGAAAGGTGGGTTCTTTGTGGATCTCTTCGTGCGAGTCTCCAACCAAGTGGCGGTGAACATGTATAAACGTCTGGGCTACAGCGTCTACAGGACGGTGATAGAGTATTACTCAGCCAGCAACGGAGAACCTGACGAAGACGCTTACGGTGAGACGAGTTATAACATCTGACATGAATACTTTTATTTTGTTTGGTCAATTCATGACTGTTGAGCATTGAATTTCCCGCCTCTCAGGCCGCCACCACTTCATTAAACCTTGCCTTGGTCTGGTACAAACATCATGCTCAGGTGTATTTTCAGCCTAAAGAGCATTATTTTCTTTATAATACAATAAAAGCTAAAAGCAGGGCTTGTTTTGAAGTCAGCTGCTGTATGTTCTCAGGACAACACCGTCACTCTGAATAAATGAGCAGAAAAAAGTTCATCACGCAGCTTTTGATTGTAGTGTGTGAGATTTGTGTCCATCCTCAGTACACTGGAGGTGGAGGCAGAAATCTAGGAGACGTTATTCATCCAGAGGTAGAGGATGTTTTGGTTGAACTTGCCCTTTAATGACACTTCATTGTGTCTCTGTGCTGCCTTTCTCCCACTGATCCAACAGGTTGGATTTTGAGTGGAATCTGTTGTTCGGCAGCCAGAAGAGGGCGCTGTTCTGGTAGAGCTGAAGAAGCTGAGACTGGGTTTGAAAAATTGATTGATTTTATATTTTCTTTGCAGATATGAGGAAAGCTCTGTCCAGAGACACGGAGAAGAAGTCCATCATCCCGCTGCCACATCCTGTCAGACCGGAGGACATTGAATAACAGTAGACTGTGGCTCTCTGACGCTCTGCTCACTGCACCTCTGATGATCAATACGTTGATAACCACAGGACCTGCTCAGTTACACTGTACATAATGAACTGCCACAGATGCTGCTTCCTCAGTTCTCACAGTCAGAGAGCCACTGCTTGTACAAATCTTGATTTTCTAATATCATTAATTCCCAGTTCAGCTTCATTTCCTGTAAATTCTAAATTTGCTGAAGAAACAAACACAAAGAGCCGGTTTGAATAGATGTGAGTGTAATGGCACAAAAACATGGTCGTACAATAAAGACTGATCGTGAGCTGGTTTTGTTGTTTTTAAAAAATAAAAAAAACAAAACGGTAGAAAAATCTCTCCAGGACGTTCACTCCCCTCGTGTCTGAGTGGACAGTCTAATCTTTTTCTTCTTCACTGCTCCTGCTCTCTTTCTCCTTTTTCTCTCCACCACCATCCTTCTCCTCCTTCTCCTCCTCCTTCTTCTCCTCCTTCTCCTCCTCACTGTCACTCTCGCTGCTGCTGCTGCTGCTGCTGCTGCTGCTGCTGTTGTCGTCATCGTCTCGGTCGTCGTACGTTTTCTCCTGCTCTGTTTCAGTCTCAGTGTTTTTGTCAGAGTCGTTCTCTGGCTGGTTTTCAGCTGCAGGTTCGGACGAGGACGACAGCGCCGCCTCTTCAGCCGTTGGACTTTTGTCTGGAACCTGCTCCACTGTGTCATCCGCCTGCTTCCTCTTCCACATCTTGGCCATGGCGAGCAGCTTGAGGTTGGGTTGGTTGGCGGCGTCCTCGGGGAAGATGTAGTCGTAGTACTCCTCCCAGCCTGCGTCCGACTGAGGGAATCGGAGAGAGATAATGATCAATACCTGTGACTGGCTGCAGCTAATCACTATTTTAATTATCGACTCATAAATGGCTTTCTTTAATTTATTAATTATTTAATTTGTCAATTTAATTCAGTTCTTACCCCGTCCTCGGCCGTTAGCTTCCTCCTCTTCTTCACCTTCTCTGGCAGCAGCTTCCTCACTCTCTCCATGGTGCTGTCGGAGCCAAACTCCTTCTCGAATTCCCTCCAGGACTCCAGCAGCATCAGCCGCTCCTCCTTCTCCTCGCAGCTCCTCATGCCCTTGTTGGCCTCCTCGTAGATCTGCCGGCACTTCTGCAGCCTGTCGGGGCTGTCGATGGACAGCTCGAACTTGGCGTAGCTGATCCAAACCTGCAGAGAGGAGGAAGAAGAGGACCATCAGAAGTCAGATGGTGTCAGGCAGATAATCACAGACTGAGAAATGATAAATCTGCCTGTTGTGCTTCCTGACGCTGGTTTAACCCTGGTTTTCTCGTGTCCAGCTGGACTGCACTTCTCACCTTGACGTGCTGGGTGCGCTGCAGCAACCGTTTGTAAAGGTTCCTTGTGTTTCCAAACTCCTCCTGCTCGATCTCAAAGTCGATGTAGGACTTCCACAGAACCTGAAACAGAGATAATGTTTGTAATGTTTACTTTTCCCTTTGTGAAAGACTTATCACCAACATTTCAGTCATGAGGTGAAGATACAGACGGTTTGAGAGTCAAATGTTTTGCCAGAGTAATTTCACTTTACTACCACGTTTTGGCAACAAACAATTAGAAATGTAGAAGTGGGAAAAAATTTCTTAAATGAAGAAAAGTGTAATCAATACCTCTGGCATGTCCAGTCGTGGTTGTCCGATGGCGACTTCGAAGATGGCGCGGGCTCTGTCGACGTCTCCCAGAATCGTCTCCAGCTCCGCAAACTTGATCCAGGTGGTGCAGTTCTCCGGACTGAACTCCAGGTATTTCTCGTACAGCTTCCTGCAGCGGTCAAACTCTCGCAGCTGCAGCTCCAGCTCGATGTAGCCCTTCAGCAGCTTGTTCTTCGGGCATTTACCGATGGCCGTGCCCTGAGGAGAGAAACGAGTCCATCTGGATGTTACTTCCTACTTTATTTTTTGTGTTGATCTGCATGACGATCATTCAGTGTCTTCTGTTCAATCTCACCATGACTTTCCTGGCTCCCTGCAGATTCTTCTGTCGGATCTCAAACTGAGCGTAGAGCAGCCAGATCTTAGCGAACGTGAACTGAAACACACACGATATGAGAGTATAACCTTTTTCTGTTATACAAACTATATCTACCCTCTGTTTTAGTATTATAATTTATCATTACTTATAATAACAGACTGGAGAATCCTGCTAAAAAAATGTCAGAATAAAAATCTAAATTACCTTTTTATGAGGGATGAGATCCAGACAGGCCTGGTACACCTGCCTGGTTCTCTCAGGATCCTGATAAAGAAAGAAGGAAAGTGTTTTAAACATAATTGGCACAGTTTGTTATTTTATACAATGAGAGAGAAAGTTTTGAATTTGAATGTGGCATCATCCCAGGTCTCTTCTGATAGACTTTGACGAGTAAAATAAATCCCAGGTCGGTCATAGACACGTTGGTTATCACTGGAAGTTTAACACGCGAGCACGAAGTCACTCTGACACGAGACACTAGCTAAAGCTTTTATTTTTTGTTTATTAATACGACTCAAATTAAACAGCTTTTGTTTCCGGTTTTGTTTTGTTGTATGTCTGTTGGTAATAAAACCAACGTAGACCAGAATCTCTTCGGTGTCTCGAGTTGAAATGAAGGTCGATGATGATGATGATGATGGTGAAGAGTGTGTGAACCCACCTTGACCTCCAGCTCTTCGTACAGGCCGTAGTTGATCCACAGGTAGATGTATCGTCTCCAGTGTCTCTTCTCCTGGATGGGGGGAATGTTGGCGATGGCTCTCTCGTACACCTCCCTCACTGTGTCGGGGTCGGCGTCACTCTCCACCAGACGCAGGTAATCGAACCAAGCGTCGTAGTTGTGTGGGTTGGCCTGAGTGCAAACAGGAAAATGTTAGTCATGAGGACAGGAAGTAGTGGTCAGGCTGCCTAATCTGCCACCAGTAGAAAAGGGACCTAAATTATTACTGGTAGACTAATTTAACAGCTATTAAATCTGTGCCACTCAATAGATTATCATCATTCCAAACACATGATATAACTGCATAAAATACAGTTTATATTCATGTGTATCAAAGATGCGAGGCAGGTTTTTTATGGGTCAGTTCCTGATTTTTTCATAAAAACCTGAATGTGATCACATTAGTTTTACTCACATTACCAGATCTGCATAAAGACAACTCCTTCAGGCTACTGACGGTGGTTCAAGCTTTAGTTTTCATGGTTAATACCTTGACTTCCTCCTCGTACTGGAACCTTCGTTTGCTGACGATGACGTCCTCGATTCCCCTTCGGTCTCCAAACTTCTTCTCGAACATCGTGTAGTTCTTGAAAAGCTCCTGTGCCTGGTGTTTGGGGATTCTGTCCAAGGCATACTTATAAATCACCCGAACACGTTCAAACTGTAAAGGGAGGGACAATCAGTCAACAAGATTTAATAGCTCTCTTGTACCTGATTTAAATTCATATTAGAAATCCTGTTACAGGATGGATTTTTTTTCTGTGATGTGTTGAACAAACCTCTTTCTGTGTCTCCTCAAACCTGGCGAAGGCCACAAAGAGGTTTTCGTCCACATGTTCCTCTCCGAAGAACTCCACCGCCCTCTCATACACCTTCCTGCTGTGAGCTATGTAACCGTGCTTCTCCTCAAAACGAGCGTACTTGATCCAGTTCTTCACTTCGGGATGAACGATGACGAGTGCGGCAGAGTTAAGGAGTTTTCAGATGACAACAAAGAATTTCCTGTTTTTGGTACCGTGTAATAATAAAAAACTTCATTTTTTGACTGACTAATGTATCTGTAATCTGTGAACAGCCACATGCCTGTAAAACTGAATCTAAAACTAAGTCCTTGCTGTGAATGTGGTCTAACATCAAACCAGACCTCCTTCAGACTCACGAAAATGTTGCTCTTTTCAGTGGATGAGCACATGAAAACAAAAACAAAAGGATATAACGCTCATAAATGGTGCGAGCTTTGTCCACCTCCTTGTAGCGCAGCTCAAAGTTGATGTAGGAGTGCCAAGCCTGCTCGTCTGGCTCCCACTCCATCCAACGCTCAAACACCTGCCTGCAGCCGGCGACATTTCCCAGCATCTCCTCCATGTAGGTGTACTTGTACCTGTTGGAGGGACAAACAGTCAGACATTAAAAAGCAACAATATTCTCTGTGGAACAAGCAAAGATCTTTGGATGTCAGTAGGCCACAAACACACACCAAAGATTCTCCACCTACCCTCTTACAGCCACATTCATGTATTTAGTAAGTTTCAAACAATCATTCTAAATACACCCAAATATTCCATCCTTCTGTATTTTCAAGTATAAGCAGCTGATCACCTGTTTCCTAGCAACACAATCCAATTAAAAAAATATCAACAGTTTGACAACACTTCAATAAATCATCCAACAAAATATGTTGTGTGTTGTCACAGAGAATAACACTGCAAGCAAGTAAATAAGCATATTTTTTCAACTATTCCTTTATCACATCTGAGAAACAGTTAAACTGGTGACAAAACTTTCATCTGTCCGCAGGTGAATAAATGTAATTCATACCAGAACTGGTTGACTCGTGGCAGGATGGTGATGGCTCTGTCCCAGATGTTGCGAGCGTGGTTCACCTGGCGGCTCTTCATCTCCATCTCGGCGTACTTCAGCCACAGGGTGATGTTGCGGTGGTCGACGTCCAGCGCTCGCTCGTAAATGGAGCGAGCCCTGAAACCAGAGAAGTCAGCGATGAGGGGAAACTGTATAGCTGAGATACAGTGGGACTCACTCTGTTCAAGCAGAAACTATGTGTAAATTATGCTACATTTACCCAAAATATCAAAATGGACAAACCAGGTCAAATTTGTTGACTTCTTTGACTTTTTCTTTTTTATAATTCTGACATCGTCAACATGAGAAAGGTTGATTACAACATGGAGCACTGGTAGAGAAAAAAAGGTCATTCGACTAAAAATGAGAATGAAATACGCCTGATTTACAGATGGTTTTTGGAAAATATAATGATGTCCTAACAATTTATAAGATAGTAAATAGCACAACAACAAGCACAATACCTCTGGATCTCCTTCAGGCTTTCCTCCCATTGTGCGTATTTAATCCAGTTACTGATGACAGTGCGATTTTTTCTTATGTTGTCTTCAAACCCCTGAAAGAAAAGACATACAAGAGTTTCAAAAAGAGTTAGTTTTCCTTTGTTCCTCTGCAGTAAATGTTATAACGATGCACCAGACTTTCACTCGTTGTAAGCACGTACCTTCCTCTTCCTCAGTTTGTAATCGTTCAGCTCCTCCTCATCTGTGATCTTCTGTTTTGGTGGCGGCGGCAGAAGTTCAAGCTCCCTCTCTTTGGCTTCTCTCAGCAGCTGCTCAGCGGTGATCTGAACCTCTGCAGGAGCTTTGTTCTTCACCTGAAACACAAGAAGAAGTCGTTTAACATGATTCTGCTCCAATTGTGAGCATAACATCATCATGTTCTTCATGTCCTAATACTGAACACGATTAACCTCGGACATTGTCTACCAAGTTTAAGACAATTAATTTTACAAAGTGATTTTGCTTATTCACTGGTAATTTTGAGTCAAAACAGATAATTGGGAACATTGACTGGTTTTGTATGTATATACGTATATGAACGTTTTATACTGCAGGAGTGAGTGGCACTATAGTGACCTCACTTCAAAGATTTCTACACAACTACATTTACGTACAACACATCAAAATAGGGAGGGCTTTTGTTGTTATGCGATATAGGTAAGGCTGAAGATGAACCCACTGTATATTTTTGTGCTTATTATTGTATGATTTCAGAGCTATACTTTGTAGTCAAATATATATAGTTTTTGCTAACTTCTTCTGTTTGGAAGGCGATACAAGACTTGAGCTGTGAGGAGCTCAAGCTTTTTTAGTGACAGACTTAATTTTCAAACTGTGATGGGGAGACAGTGCACTTGACCTGATAATATAATGTTTCATTTGATATTTTTGTTTACTGCTGTTTTTTCAACACTGCCAAGGTGTATATGGGTGTCTTGTAAATCGATGTAGGCTTAACACTTACATTACTCCTACTATTACTAGTACTATAGTATGCATGCAACCCATCTAACTTTGAAGAGATGCTCTACAACAGTGTTTGAGTAGGGCTAAGTCAAGAGCAGTGACTTCAAATGACCCCCAAAGAAGGAAACACAGTATAAAAAACATGAATAATAAAGTGTAGAAAACCTAAACAAAACGCAGCATGTTCAGTTAGCAAACAGGAAAAGTAGCTTAACCGTTATTGTGGCTAATGAGGTTTCGTCAGGCTAACGTTATCCCCCATCTTACAATACTTTAATGACTGTTTTCAGTCAGCTTTACAGATGTGTCAGATTTGAACATAAAAGCAAGCGTGAGCGCTATCTGGAGTAGTTTGCTTCCTTAAACTTTACCGCTGTCTGTTAGCATTAGCTTAGCCGAAGTCAACTCATGGCTCAATCTCTCATCGTGTATTGTTTGTTGTTGTTTTTACCTTCGCCACCTTCGGTATCCGCTGTTTGCCTGCCGCAGTGGACGCCATTTTGCTGGCGGGTTTAACAAAAAAAAAAACAACAAAACCTGTTTAAATGTTTCAACAACGGCAAAAACTGTAACAAGCGACGAAACGTTTCAGTCTCATTTAGCGCCGGCCGCCATGACAGTACCCAGAAGGCCTTGCGAGTTTCCGTTGACCTCCGGTGCAGCGTTCTGTTACTATGGTAACGGGGTTTATGCCAGCTAGCAACTATCGCAACTAAAAGTTACAGCTTTTATGGAGCTAACGTTACGGACAATTGGTTCTAATTTCACCCACAAGTAATAGAAAGTTAGCTTATAAATCTAGTATTGTAGTTTCTCAGAAAGGAACCCGCTAAATGTAAGTAACAGCCGTTTTGTTTAACGTTAAAATGTGTATCTGTTTTGTATTTTTTATTGCTCATATACATTACAGTCACCTCGTTTTTAATACGTCTGACGTGATATTGTTTCCCTCCGCTAAAAACCGGTCCAGCTGAAGATGAGGACCATAACTTCAGACAGCGGTGAAGAGGAAAATGTGGCCGTGAGAAGAAGTGAATCAGCGGATGCTCAGGGGATTGACGGCCTCATCAGCTTCTCATCTCTGTCGGTGTTTGGAAGAGTGAATGTTATTCAGCTTCTGTAAGAAAAACAGTTTCTTTGTTAGCTTTAAATGCCAGAAATTCATAAGTTTATCAGAGATAAGTTTTATCAGAGAATTTATTTAACTTACTAGTTATTTAACTCTGAACCATATTTAACAGCCTAACTGTAGATAGTACCTTACATGCTAGGTTATTATTCATACTTGAATAGTTGTATTCATTATGCTGGTCTATTGTCATCCTATACAAAGTTATACTCATCCATACACTATAATTCCTTGTTCATTCTGTTAACATTTTCCTGTAGCCTATAATTAATTTATATTTATATGCAATTTGGTACCGTTTGCACTTTCTGGTTAGTACTTAATCTTTGTAATGGCAGTAAAGTTTAATTCAATTTAGTGTAAAATCTTGTGCTATATTAATTTAGTAATGATAGAGAAAATAAATAAACATAAGGTTGGTATCTTGAATCTTCACAAAACAAACAAACATAAAATATATTAAACTGTCTGGTGAATACCGATGGTGACAAGTTTTCAGGATGGAAAAAAACATTAAAATTTACTATTACTTCTAAAACCGCTGTTCATCTGTACGCTCAGTTAATTTCAGCTACTTATGAAGGCAGTACATTTAACCATGTTTGACAAAATGATGACTGGAACATACTGAGCACATGGATGGAAAACAGAGAAGTGGGTTATTTATGCTGCTAGAGTAGTTTGAGATGTTTGGTGGACATTTTGTTTTTACATAGTAATGATCACATAATTCTTCCGGCATCTGTATGTAAAAAGTCACTAAGTGAGAGTTTTACTGTAATGTAAACATAATTTTATGGTTCTTGTGTCTTCTCTGATCTCTGGGACCTTGCAGAGAGAAAGCCAACCTGGCTGTGACCCTGGCCAATGAAAAGGACGAGATCCTGGCCCACGCTTCCTTCTTTGATCACCCTGTTGGAGATTTGGTGGATCAGGCTCACTGGGAACCTTTCCTGCAGGAACACTTCAGCGCTGAAAACTGCACGGTGTGTTATCATTCTTGAGTTCAGACAATACTGCAAAGAGCTGCTGATGTAGAGTTGTTCTTAAGATTAATACTGGTTATTAATCTTTTAATGGATACTAATAGTCTTGCCATATGCGCATACTACGCTTGTACACCTATCAAAGTTTGAATTCAAGCTACTTTGTAGATGATATGAAAGTGAACTGATTCTTGCACTGGAGGAAAACTGGCACATTTTTTCCCTCTCTCCAGGCACTGAACACACTCTTCCTCCACCTATTTGTGGCACAGTTGAATTTTGCCACAGCAAGTGTAAAGGAGATAATGAGGTATGAAAAGATGAAGTCACATGCTTTCACATGGTATTTCTTGTGGTATTCAAATCTGAAATCTTCACTTTCCAAATTTTTCTTGTTTCAGTTGTGTCACTCATCTGAAGAATAAAAAATAGCCTTAGATGTTGTTAGGGACAGAGCAGTCAAATGACAAAAAAGCACAGGTTTACTTTTCATAAAGGGTTTTATTTCATCCAAAAAACATTTCAAAGGTAAATAAGTAAATTTGGTAAATAAGAGGGAGGTCAACCAAACAGAAATCTACTCAAAAAAATACTGCTAACTAACTAGGACCTGCCCTCAACTCACTGACTTTACAGAGTGGCCATGAATGGAGACATATATACTGGCTGATCAGCCCATTAGAAACTAAAAGGGGAAAACAACACAGAGAGTAACTGAAATTAAATACAAAGAAACAACATTACCCCCCATGATGATACAGCCCTTGGTCTGGTCCATTTCTCGGGCCTCTGTATTTAAGCAGGCTCCACCCTTGTCCACCTCTTTTGGCCAAACCTGGAAGGAGGACTGAGACAGAAGACATGGTAACTCAGAGACAAAGATAAATGAATTAGTTAATTGTGAGCAATGTAAACTAGATGTGGGGCTGCCTTTGTCACCGGTTCTGTTCATAACTTTTATGGACAGAATTTCTAGGCGCAGCCGGGTGGTGGAGGGGTTTGGGTTTGGGTTCGGTGGCGGGAGGATCTCGTCTTTTTGTGGATGATGTGGTCCTCTTAGCTTCATCGAGCGCCGACCTTCAGCTCTTGCTTGGGCGGTGCGCGGCCGAGTGTGAAACGGCTGGGATGAAGGTCAGCACCTCCAAGTCTGAGGCCATGGTTCTCAGCCGGAAACGGGTGGATTGCCCGCTCCGGGTCGGGGGGGAGGGCTCTGCCTCAGGTGGAGGAGTTTAAGTATCTCGGGATCTTGTTCACGAGTGAGGGTGGGATGGAGCGGGACATCGACAGGCGGATCGGGGCGGCGTCAGCAGTGATGCGGGCGCTGAATCGGTCCGTTGTGGGGAAGAGGGAGCTAAGCCGGAAGGCGAAGCTCTCAATTTTCCGGTCGATCTACGTTCCGATCCTCACCTGTGGTCATGAGCTTTGGGTAATGACCGAAAGAACGAGATCGCGAATACAAGCGGCCGATATGAGTTTCCTCCGCAGGGTGGCCGGGCTCAGCCTTAGAGATAGGGTGAGGAGCTCGGAGTAGAGCCGCTGCTCCTCCATGTCGAGAGGAGCCAGTTGAGGTGGTTCGGGCATCTGGTGAGGATGCCTCCTGGACGCCTCCCTGGGGAGGTGTTTCGGGCATGTCCCACCGGGAGGAGGCCTCGGGGCCGACCGAGGACACGCTGGAGGGATTATATCTCTCGGCTGGCCTTGGAACGCCTCGGGATTCTCCCGGAGGAGCTGGTGGAAGTGGCTGGGCGACCGGGACCCAGATAAGCGGGAGACGACGACGACAGTTTGGTGTCAAAAGTGACTGCAAAGAAAACTAACAAAGACTGTGGTAATGATGTGGGAGAGTGTGTGAAACCAGAAACCCTGTCTCTGGATTTGTATGTTGAGTGTGGTGAGGCCAGATGAGTATCACCATGTTTCTATTTCAATTGTGTGGCTGTGGGTACGGCCATCACATATGTCCATACATATGATGTGCTGTGTGGTACAATCATTACAGAACGCTGAACTGTAAAATGACGATGACACAGTATTGTGCTTTGGTTAGAAGCAACCACAAAGTACAGATACAAAAAGGTGTAAACAGTGTCTGCTGAATTATAATCCCTTGTTGTTGCACATCTTTTTTTTCCAGGGCTGTCTTTAATGCCGTCGCAGAGGTGGAATACGTCTGTCTGCTCAGCCCAAACATCGACAACTTAGGTGAAGAGCTGCTTCCAGTTCATTGTTAACTTCACCTTTCATTTCATGAGACTCATCCTTGTCAGTGTGTGTGTGTGTGTGTGTGTGTGTGTGTGTGTGTGTGTGTGTGTGTGTGTGTGTGTGTGTGTGTGTGTGTGTGTGTGTGTGTGTGTGTGTGTGTGTGTGTCTAGAGCCAGCGCTGGATGGCATGTTTGAGCCGTTGCAGCGCCTGACTGACCCGGGGCCACAGTGCGTAGCGTTAATCTGCCACAGACAGGAGCACTGTCCAAGGCTGCACATCCGGCCTGCCAGGTGATTCCACACCGTTCCTCCCCACTAACAGCACCTGGCTAGAAAACACACAAACCTGCATATGTAGCTCAGTGAAAGGTGAAAGTGTGGACATACATGTGAACATCTAACTTCTACTTTAGCATGTAAGTACATAAACTGGCTAGAATGCCCATGTTCAAAAATAAAACATACACTTCAACAGTTTAAAGCTCCTCCAGTGTAAAGGTCTGTGTCCATGTGTAGTGTGATTATAGATCAGCTCTAGCTTCTATATTAATACTGTGAAAGTATCAAAGCCTCAGTCCACAGAGAAATGCACACAGCCTGTATTCAGAAACTGAGCCTTAAAACCAGTCGTCAGGACTTCTGGAACTTTGTGATGTCACAACAAAGCAGTCACCACCCATCTGTTACTAGAGCTGCAGAGAGAAGATGTAAAACTATATTGAGATGGTTTTGGTTCTTAAAACCACATACATATCTTTTGGATATCAAATCTTCAAGTAAAACACAGAATTTTTTTTTAAAAATATGGGTCCTTTAATATTTAGTCCCAAAATCTCAGCAGAATTTAATGGACGTGGCTCTACAGTATGTATGATGTGGATCTATTTAGCTGCATTAACTGATATTTTTGGGCACTTGGGGGCAGAAGAACTCATATTATCACCTTATATAGTTCTAATGGTTAGTAAACAGTTGCCTATTCACACATCCATACAACACAGAGAGACATAATCAGTCCAAGTCATGTTGTAACTGTATCTGTTTGCTGCTCTTTTTGTATATTGCAGGGTTGACGATCACGATGACATTATGCGCATATTTGAGAAGCAGACAAAACTATCCTCAGTCGTAGATCAGCCGTACTTCCTGGCAGAAGTCATTGAGGCTCAGAATGAAGAAAGTCACTCTGCTGTCTATGAGGTTTGTTCAAGCCTTTTTTTTCACACACACAGAATTCCATCTATTTTAAAAAAAATGTTGGTTATTTTTTGATTTTAGCTTAATGGCATTGAGAAGTAATCCACAACAGCTGTTACACTGAGAAACCATCACATCGTCTCGTCTGCTCTGTGTGGTCTTATGTGAGTTATGTGATTTGTTCCCAGTCATTTCTGATGCACTCTTCCAGTCTAGAAATGATGTAATAGCAGCTCTCTGCTTTGACTGATTGTCAGAAACCCTGCTGGGGTCCGTTCCCTCGGGACCTGGGAGACGACAGATCTAACCCCCCTCCCCCTCCCCTCCCTCCGCCAGTCGGCCTGACATGTGTTCATGGCAGCATATGGCAGATACGAGCTGATACTTGGCCAAGACATGCTCTCACTGAACATATTGTGTCCAGACATCTGAAGCATTTTGGGCTTTTTGTCTGAATATGTTCAGCGCTCAGAGAACAAACAGTCCAACATTGCCCGAGAGGGTTGGTCTGTTCACTCCACTCAATGCCATAAACTTCAGTTTTATGTCATTTAAAATGAAGAGTTTTTGGGGGGTATTTTCTCTATTTTCTGGAAGAAAATGTCTTCTTTTGCTTCATGTGTCAAGAATATGATTTCAGTCCAAACCCAGATTAACAGCTTTTTGTTCCACATAATGAAACTTTCTCAACATTTATTAATAATTAACTTTCTAAAACAACATTTGAAGATGATGAAATCTCACTGTATGGTCAGTTTGGCAGCTTCTCTGAAGCTTTAAATCTGATCTCTCCCAGCAGGAGTTGTCATGGAATCACAGATCACAGAATTTTTTTTTTTCGATGACTTTTTGTCCATGTTGCCTGAAGATCCATTTGCTGATTTCTCTTTCAGTAGCTACTGCTGCTCATGCTAACTGCTGAGCTCTTCTTCTGCTGGTTATAGTTAACAAAGCAGAAATGTAAAAGCTGATTACTGAGGAAACAGAAAATGAAAATGGACAAACCTTCATGTTCTGGCAGAGACAGTATAATGTGAGTGTGGTTGTGTGTTTCGCCACAGATTGATGGAGTTGCTGTTGGCTTCATCAGTGTTACGTCTGATGTTGATTTGAAACAGCTGCGCAACAACTTTGAGCTCAGTGGATTCAATGGTTTGTACAAACCGCAGCAAACCAAACCTGCTGCTGCTCGTTCTGACCTGAGAGACGATGAAGAGGAGGAGAGGCGGACCCAAAACTCCACCCCTCAACAGGTAACTGAACCTGTGTCATGTCACGTGTGTTGGATACAGTCAGACATGGTGACACTCAGAGTGAGGAGGTGTTTCAGTGGTATCAGTCATAATCAGGATTTATGACATAAACCTTTTTTTAATGAAACAGTCTTTAATTGTGATGGAGGAAGTGTTACCTGCTGATATATGAAACAACCACCACCATCCAGCTGTCTAACCATTACTGCATCATATCCATTACTGTTTAGGAGGTTTTAGAACAGATGGTAATGCAAAGTGATAAATCTGGGAAGCAGAGTGGAAACGTTACACTCTCCGATAGTGCTTTAGTCATAAACCATGTCGTCTTTACTTCACCTTCTCCTTTATGATACTGTATGTTGTTACTGTCGCTCTCACCTCCGCAGGAGGAGACGCAGGCAACCGGAGCTGGAGGGTTTTCAAAGAAACCCAACGCGTTCTCTATCGAGTTCTTCATCATTGACAAGCATTATGAAATGAGGTAATGCTCCTAAATTTGCATCATACATCTGACAATAATCTGTATTTTTCTTATTGTCAACAAATCAAATGAAAAGACCAAAACCAAGAATGACTGTTTCCCTATCAACAGAGTGTGAATCAGAGCCTGATGTGTCTGATTCCTCTAAACCACAGAGCTTCACTGTCTCCAGAAACTATTAAAAACACATCAGTGAGTCTCACTGTTGCACTGGGTGACATGCTCCTTCTTCACATCAACACACTCTAGTTTATTTTGACTGAGACACACACACACACACACACACACACACACACACACACACACACACACACACACACACACACACGGTACTCACTACAGCACCAAATGTGGATTAATCTGCTGCTGAAAATAGTCCCCAACAAATGCACTATTTACTAGTTGTTTGTTGTTTGAGCAGCTGTTTTTTTTTAGCAAATTACTGAGACATTTTTTAAAACTATATATTTGTGATTTACATCTTCAGTAGGAGCTAATGAGCTGAGAAATAACTTCTCTACTTTAGTCTAATCCTAAAGTTTACATCCACTTTGTTTCCTCCTTATATTAAAATATGGAAGTAAACATGGTATCTGCTGGAGTCTGTTGTTGCAATTTGCTTCTATTCTGTTGGTTTTTCTTTATTTTTCTTTATTTATTTTTAAAGTGGATACACATTTCGGAAATCAAATCCTCCAATTTAAACCAAATTTTCAATATACCATTTTCAAATATACTCATACGCTCAGTAAACATTCTTTGACTTGTAACATGATGTGGAAAATACACAATAAAACAAAATACTGCATTTATAGAAATGAGGTATATCTGCAGAATAAATAAGGCAGTTAAAGGTTACCAGGCAACTTCAGTAAATAGATACTTTTACAAAATTAATATTCTGTAATTCAGATACGCAAACACATTTTTTTTTAATGGAAGTTTATTTCAAAAGTTTTCAGTTTTTCTCAGTTTGGTAAATTTTTGAGGCGGTGCTCCTGCAGCACTGGTGGCAGCCGTCCAGCCTTACATCAGTCATATGCCGTGTTAAAGCAGGGAGAGTGACTGTTAGTTGGCTCCTGCTGAGCTCCTCTCACCACCACCACACCTCCCAGCTGTTACTGAATATGGAGTCGATTCGCTTCCTGCCGAGAGTGAGCATGTTATTAATGAGAGCCGCGCTTAAAGCGACAGCGAGCCGAAGGCGAGAAGTTGAGCTGGAAGCCGCGGGCAGATTGGTCGGCCAGTTGTTCCACCACAGTGATCACCGACTTGGCTTTGATTCTGAAACTGGCACAGACGCACATTCTCACTTCCCCTTGTTCTTCTTCTCTTCCAGATCAGTGGACGTTATTCCATATGTATTCAAACTTTTCCCTGTGAGTATCATCTCTGCATGTGAGGTTTCGTCAACCAGATAATAAGTTTTTGTTTGTGTAAATAAGTCAGAGATCACTGTACCTCAGCAAGAGATCAAAGACACACTGCGTCCCTGGGGGGATGAGAAGTCTGTCACACATCAGGACGGACTTAAAGTTTAAGATTCCTGAGAATTCTTTAGAAAATTATCTTTTTATGACGTGCTGAATATCTGCTGTATATGTTGGTATTTGTTGCCCTTGTGTCTGTCAGGACCTGGATTTCTGCGTCATCACGGTACCGACTCTTTCCCACGAGTTTCCGTTGCTGCAGAGTTTCCTCAGGGTGCCGGCCCGCGCCACCAGCTTGCTGCTTCGCGAACTCTACATTTTCCACCGCGATGGGCTGAGGTGGGTCGTCTCTTAAAAAAAAACTGCCTCTTATATGTTTGATTCATTGGTGCTGCCTGTAAGAAACACTGTCAGATCACTACTGTCTTTTTTTGCGAAGAGGAGCTCCCAGATCTGCAACAGTATATGAACAGTATCGTGTCTATTTGCTGTTCTTACAAAGCCACTGTCACAGTTCCTGCCCCGGTCCTTCTGCTTCTTGCCCCTCTGTTCCTGTCAGCCACGGTCTCATTCCCTCAGGTCACTGCATTTATATGGAAATCTTCTCACCTGTCATCCCTCAGCCGTCCACCAGATGCCCTCCTGTCTCAGTCATGTGACCTTCCTCTCACACACCTGTTCCCAATTTCCCAATTATCCAGCCAGTACGTAAACCTGCCTGTTCCACCTGCTCTCTGTCAGATTATCTCATGTCTCAATAACTTGTTCTTTGTGCCGTGGACTTCTGGTGTTGCCACCTTACCTACCTGTACGCCTTAGTCATTTTTATAGTTGCTGAACTCACTTCACTGCACCTGCCTGTGTCTGTGTTGCTCCACAAACAAAAAAAAATGCAACACAAAATAGTTGAGCAAAATAAGACGTGAGGTGCAGAGGCTGCGCAGAAACTGTGTCCCTCCTCACGAATCGGCACCTGGAGCTGATCGACCCTGACGTCCTTAAGTACAACTTTCTATTATCCATCACAAGGAAGAGCCACTGTGGTTGGAAGTGTAAACTAAAATAACACAAACATACACATAGAAAAGGGGCTCTGACAAACTGCTCCTAGAAAAACACATTCAGGTGCATCTTTTGTTCTCGCAGGCCTGTGGACGTGAGGCCGGCTGTGGCTGCAGACCGGCCCGCGGTCTCTGATCTAGTAAAGGGTCTGAGACGGCACGAGTCCCTGCTGCAGGACCTGGACTGCTTCTACAGGACCCGCAGTGACCCGGTCAGTCACCACACTCGTACCAACACATCTGGTTTCACCCTCAGCCACTCGACAAGCTGTTTGTGCTTTCCTCAGACTGTGGTTATGAATGATGCTGATACAACTCTGCTTTCCCATAGAGATCAGTAATTGTTTCCAAATCCTTTTGTTCAGTGCACTTTGACTGTTTCATTTATTATTTGTTTTATTGATCTATACTCTTCTTCTGCATCTTCCTCTGCTATTAATCTCACTGTATGCCCTCCTCCTCTGACCACCATGGGGCTTAAAGTCTACTTCCATAATATTGCCTCTTCCTATCTTCAAATCCCACCTCAAAACTCGCCTCTTCAAACTTGCCTATTCAGTTGACCTCCAACACTAGTGTTCAGTGCCACCATGTTTATTTTATGCAGTTATATTTAATCTATTTATTTAGTATTTTATGCCTCGTATCTATTTTATTTCTTTTACTGTGTGTTGTAAGGTGCCTATAAAGTATTATATTAGTTTCAGTTAGGTGTTCCTAACAAAGAGTCAACTGGGTGTACAACAGAAGCTTCAGGTGTCTAATAATGAACTGATTTTTAGATAGAGTAGGTTTAAGGTTGGGTGAACGGTGTCCTCCATTTCCAAATACAACTTATTTTTATTCTAGTTTTAACTCATTTGCTCGTCTGTTATCTTTCTTTATGCAGGCGGCCACTACAGCTAAATCTCACCACTGCTGAAATATTTAAAAATAAAACATACTCTATTTTAACTAGATTTTAACCAATTTCCCCACTAAACACAAGCTGGCCCATTAAATGCTTTGTGTCTAAAAAGAATTTAAACTGTCAATAGAGAAAATATCAGGGTTGTAATTGTAATTATGGCCCTTTAACTTAAAAATGAAATGATGATTGTTTTGGACCACGGAGTGTGACTCGAGCTGGTATAATGATGATTGTCTTGGAATAAAGAGGAATATCACACTTTTGCCAGCGAACAGATTGGTGAGAATTCAGTTGAATGGATTTTCCTCTCTGACTGACGCCCCAGCTGTCACTGCTGCAGCTCCAAAACTGATAATTACTTCTCAAATGAGAATGCAGCCACTTCATGTGTATTCATGACGCTGGACTCGGCTTGTGCTTGAACTCAGAAGGTGCATCCACATGCTCGTGTGTTTGCCTTGTTCTGTGTCTTCAGGACGGGGTGCCGCTGCAGGCCTTCGTGGCTCAGGTGGACAGTCGGGTTGTGGGGATTCTGATCATCAGAGACGAGCAGGTAGTTTTCTAATCCATGTCCTCAGATGAACCTGAGCGTGCTGGGTGAACATTTCTTTTCTTTTTTTTTACCCCTGTATCGAGTTGGAAAATTTTTAATGCTCACATTCACAATATTTCTCTTTAAGGACGATAATATAATTTTCCCATATTGTTTGACAACAACACATTTATTCAGAATCTTTAGTGTTGAAATCGTCAATTGTTCGATTAGCCAATCAACAGGAAAATAATCAACTACTGTTTTGTTTGTAGCTTAATTTTAGTAATAAAATTTTGAATTTTGGAAAATGAGCATTTTGAAGATTTCACCTTGGCTTCTCAAATTTAATGCACAAAGTAATTCATTCAATCTGATCCTGAGGCTCTATCACACTTAAATTAAGGAAATGACATTTTTGTAATTGTGTGTAATTTCATCAAATAGAAAAGTGATTAGAGTTGAATCAAACACGTCTTGTGTGTTAGTCTACACACATTTTTATGTGCTTCAGCCTGACAGTATTTTGTAGAACTTTGAAGGGAGGTTTGTTTTTAAATAAAGGAACATCTCTTGGTGAAGTCACAAATATCTTGACACAATTCACTGTATTCATAGAAATAATTGACTTCATTCTGGACAGGCTGCTGTGATAAATGTTGCAATTATTTTATGCAGTTCCACTGGGATTAAAAACATTTAAAAAAGGAAAATATAAAATATGAATATTTGTCCTGGAAATGTGAATCCACATAGAAGATGACCTGAATGTCTCTGTCAGGACGTGGAGTACATCCGTGCCCACTACAACATCGAGAACTTCATCTACTTCAGTCACCACAGCTACGAGGAGCACGCTGAGATTCGCCACTTGGTCCTGAAACCCTCCTTCCAGCACTTCACCAAACACTTGTTTAAGGAGGTCCTCCGGCTGGCTCACAGATCCTGCCTGCACCACAGACTCTACCCCCCCTATCGCAGCCAGGAGGTGGGTGCACAGGGACCTTCAGGCCCTTACTGGCCCTTCATCACCGGGCCCCTTCCAGCCCGTGTGCATGTCTGCTCAGATGCACATTGTCATTAGTGTAATGATCCTCGGTTCATACGCTGCAAGAAATACCCCTGACGACGAGTCAAACACAAATCCAGTCATCAGACCAAAGAATTTTCTTCACAGATCCCTTGAATATAAAATAGACTTAGATTTTTTTTAATGCATCATTTAATTCATGATATTTTGGTGTCCAGAGATAATGATGAAGATGATGATAACACACTAATGTTCATGACTAATTTTTGTTCTCAGCTAGTTGAAAAAACCTTCCTGTATTCTAAAAAGCAACTGGTTTTGGTTTTTGAAGCTGTTTTTATTATACATGATTATAAAGGATGGCAATTAATTAATAGGCTGCCCTGAAAAACACTGAATCTCAGTCTCAGTCAGTTCTTTTTTTTTTTGTGCCTGTAGTTTTGGCAGTAATCAGATGCTCCTTGTTGGTCATCACATTTTACCCATCACCACACACTAGGTGTTGCCACAGCTTCACAACAGTTTGTCTAAACTAGACTTCTTTAAAATTGTTCTGCTGGTTTTAAATCTAAAATGAAATCAGATTGAAATCAAGTGAAAATCTTTATAAAGGGGGAAAAATTTTCCTTCCTATTTTGTGATTTCATGTGATACACCAGAATTTTATTTGTGCAGAGAGAACAGCTGTAAGATCCTGCAGATGAATCTGAGTCCTGCAGCAGTTAAAATAAATGTGACAGATGAGTTTCTCCATGTATAAACGTTGTAGCTTTAAGCAGGGCACTTTTTGCAGAGCGTGGCCCTCGGCAGGCTTCTGTCCCCGGGGTTAGGGCAGCAGGTGCCGACAGTGCTGCCAGCTCCACCTCTCCACACCATAATAAGACATTTCCTCAACATGTAGAGGCCTCCACTTCCTCTGCTAATTACCTTCCACAAACAAGCACCAGACTGGGAGAGGATGATTTGCAAATAGAATAATGGCAGAGGATAACCACAGAATCCGCTCTGCTCAGGCAGCGGATGAAGCTCTGGTTGACGTTTCCCAGTCTTAATCAGCTCATATCAGCGGTGTAAACCTTGCATCATCTAACCTTTTCACCGGAGCTCATTATCACTTTGCCTCCCCCCACCCCCCCACCCCCCCACTAATGCTGTTTAACCTCCGAGGGGAGTTTCTCTCTCTGAGCTCACTGACACTGTGCCCTCTTCTTCTGCACTCAGGATTCCTGCGTCCACCATCTGGATTTCGTCCTCAACTGTGCAGTTCCCGTGCGCCCGCGACGCCAAATCATCTACCCACTGGAGGAGCTTGGCATCAACGCCCCGTCCAGGCGGATCACCGAGGACCAGGTGGGCTCAGCAGCAGCTGGCTGACAGGGAGCAGCCTGCCAGGGAATGTAGATTAGCCGACAGAGGGAACGCAGCAGGGTGTTGATGGGACCACTAGGCGGAGCTGTTTCAAAAGGAAAAAGCTTGTAGTGACAGAACATGGTTCACTTACAGACAGGGAGGGAAACTCCAGCACAGAGGGATATGAAACACAGTATGATGGAATGAACATGACATTTTATCATGTAGCTGTAGATGAATTCATATACCAGAAACATTTTTTTACACCGTTCAGTTTCATGTATTTATCTGTGAAAACATTTGAAACTAGAAAGTAAAATAGTTATGTTGTTTTGAACAATGTTTGTCTACACAACAGGTAACTGTTTAAGAGTGCTCACTTCCACTGAAACCTGCAGAGGATGCGTTTTACAATGTTGGACTTTGTGAGCTTTAGAAGCTACATTTTTATTTATGTGATGACGTAAAAGCACTTCACTTAAAGTAATTAAAGTTGTAGCTGAAGCATTTAAAGAAGTTGAAATGTCAAGTATATTCATTAGAGTATATTTACTGAAAGAAAAGTGATGAAAGGAGTTTGTGTTTGGTTCAAGTGTTGAAGTGTGAACTTTTAATGATTCAGGTTTGATTTGTGCTTTATTTAATTGAGTATCCTTGACTCCTTCATCCTCCTGCTTAACTACAAGATAATGTAGCTGATTGTTGGCACATGATTATATTCAGTTCCTCACTGTAGAGAAGCTACAGGTGACCTACACAGACCATAAATCGGAAAGTAAAAGACCTTTTAAAAATGCACAAAATTACTTGACAATCTGCTTTAAAACCCTGACATCTCACGCTGATATATATATTGATTCTGTTCTAGCAATGTTATAGAATTGAAGAATAGAATGTGTTGATTAGATTCTGTGTCTGTAGTGTGGTCAAACAGAATCTGAAACCCCCTCCACCTACACCACACAAAAGAGTGCAACACCATGAATGACTGTGAGAAGAGAGTGTTCTCCCTGTTCGTCCCTCTCTGTCACGGCGAGCTGTTTGGAACCATTAACACTTCTGCCTTCATTCGTGGTCGTGCAGCACATCGCGCAAACAAGTTAATGCAGCCTTTATGTACATGTGTATAAACATGGCTTTTAGTACCTCAGTGTACATTCATTCACACAGATGGTGTCACTTTAAGAGCAACTTTTCCTTCTTTTTTATAAAAACTGAGGTAGCTGGAAGAGTTAAAGCTCCATCCAGTGTAAAGGTCTGTGTCCATGTGTAGTGTGATTATAGATCAGCTCTAGCTTCTATATTAATACTGTGAAAGTATCAAAGCCTCAGTCCACAGAGAAATGCACACAGCCTGTATTCAGAAACTGAGCCTTAAAACCAGCCGTCAGGACTTCTGGAACTTTGTGATGTCACAAAAAAGCAGTCACCAAGCCCCGCCCACCTGGACCCACCATCCAAACCTTGCAGGATTTGGTTTCTCTGAGTGTTTTACCTGAAATCTGCTTTATTTTTATTGGATCACTCAGAAAACAGTCAGCCAATCAGAAGAGAGGCTCAGAGCCTCCTCTCTTCTGATTGGCTCACCAACCTCCAGAGAGCAGCCTGAGAGAGGAGATGTAAAACTACAGTGAGATGCTTTTTGGTTCTTAAAACCATAAATATACCTTCTTATGGATCAACACTTCAAAATAAAACACAGAAGAAGAAGTAACAGGTGAATAATAACAACCACAGCAGTAAATTGTACGGTGACTCATGTGTTCCGATCTGATCTTAATGTGGCTGTGATTTATTTTAATGTCCTGCATTTCAAATATTTACCACATGTACGGCAGTGCTCTGTAGACCTGAGGTGACACCGTGTACACTCGTATGATCATTTCACTCCATAACCCCCCCACACACACACACACACACACACCCCCCCTTAACCTCGGTTACACGGCAGTCATGATTTCCAGGATACGGTGCAGATAAGAGCGTTGCCTGCGAGCTTTGTCTCTGCCTCCTGATGTCAGCCTTGGGAAGATTAATCTAATTTAAAGCACCTGTTCCCTCTCTGTCAATACAGGATCATATTAAACAGAGCTGCGGTCATTGTGTGTGTAGGAAAGGTGAAGCATCTCCAGCGTGATAAGAGCCGCTGCACCTGCTCCTCCACACATGCAGATGAGACGGGAGCTTTGTTCTCCTGGTGACCTCATCCCGTTAATTCCTGCAGTATTCAGATGGATGCATGTAGGCATGTCATACGCTTACATGCAATAACAAGTACATGGTTGTTACATACATAAGGTCATAATCATGTGTCATAAATGTCAGTATACAGTACCTGCATGAATCAATGATTGAAAATCAATCCTTGTCTAATCTGTTTATAGATCCTGATTTGATCTAGGAAATGACCAGTAACATTTCCATATAAATATCTCTATATCTCTGCTGCTGTCGCTAGCAGAGATCCAGTCCAGCTGTTTTACTGACTCCTGTACAGTAAACGAAGCAAATTCAGAGCGTGTCGTTATTGCATGTGGTAACTAAAAACGTTGTTATGCATCCAAACATTTTCCAAATGAGTCTTAAAGGAAACTGTTGAATATTTTCCACAGTGTTTAATCTTTAGTTTCAGCTTGTCGTAACGTAAAGTGGTATACGGATCCGAGCAACCAACAACACCAGCAGGTTCTGTTACTTACTGAACTAGCCAACTGAATGTTATGTTGAAGGTTTTGACCTGGAGCTCTCTACATCGAGTGAATGCCCGTCCAAGGTTCACTCTTGTTTTATCTCTTCTTCTATCGCTCTCCTTTTTTTGCCTCCTCCAACAACACTGGAGGGAGGAGTGCCGGGTGGAGTTACAATGCTTGTTCCCCCCTGAAATTTTTTCAGAGACAGAACTGCAAAGTGAAAGCGAGACTCAGAGGAAACCAATCTGAACACAGATGGTGTCATTATTCTACAGCCATTACATTGTGCAATCAACATTTACTTCATAATGATAAAGAAAAAAAACATGTTGTCACTTTAAGTTTTTGTGTTCACAGACGCAAACCCTTCAACTTTTCTGACGTTGATGTTTTTGTACTGATGAATCAACCAGGAGTGTTTTCATGTCCAGAAAATAAACAGGATGTTTCTCTCCCAGAAGTATCTCCCAAAACTCTCTGACTGACTTGTCTTTGTAGAATATTTTTGACCTGATAACAACAACAAAAAGTTTGACAAAGGAAAAAAAAGAAAATTTTTAAAGTTTTAAATGAAAAGCTGGAGAAAATGTTCTAAAGAACAATGGCTCTAAAGTATTATCTGCTTTGTTTGCTCTGTTTCATTGCTACAGACTAACAAACTAAACAAAACAAAAGATGACTTATTGTTCTTGTGCAGTCATACATACATGTATTATACAACCTACGCTCCTTTATTTCACCCTGAGCCAGAACTTCTCTGTACGTGACAGATGTTTGGCATACGGGCCCTCATGGAAATTATTAGAATATTACACAAAGGTTAATTCCACCCTCGGGTTTCCCCCTTTTTTTTCTTTTTTTTTTCTTTTTTTTTTTGCTTGATGCTGTTTTGATCTAGCAAGGTGCATTGTGGGGCCAATCTGCCTAATTATAGATGATGAAGGAGCCATTAGCTGCCTCAGATCACTGGGCGAGGACCAGGCAGGCTTGGCGGTAGAGGAATTGGGAAATGAGAACGCTGTGTTCTAGTAATTCCTGCGAGACTCTTTTGTAATTGTTGTGGAAAAGTGTTCCTTAACTGTCAGGTCACATGTCCGACCTCCGGGTTTACATCTCATTACAATGTGGAGCTGCAGTTACTGCAATTCTCATGATTTTCTAGCTGTGTTTGATGAATGTAGAGCAAACACTTGGTTCATGCACAAACAGGAGTTTCAGCAGGATGGCAGAACACCAAGCACAGAAAATAAATTTAAAAAAAAATGACGGATAAAAGAGCAACTCAATGATCAACACAACTACCTCAGTGTGATTGGTTTAATGACAGTGATAAAAGCAACTCGTCTATTTCAGTGGACAAAGTTTAGACCCTAGTGTTACCGTAATTCAGAAGTGGTTGCCATGTTTTCTTGAATTGAATTGAATTGAATTGGGAAACCACAAAGCGAAGCAAACTCCTTCATTCACAGTGTGATGAAGAGGTTGTGGGCTTTTGGACTTCAGTGAAATTGACCCATGTGCTGTGTGACCCTGTCTCTTAGAAATGATTTGCTTTGCCAAATAGATTTTGTGGAAAATGTATTTTCTGCCTAGAGTGTGAATAAAGTGAATCCAGTGAATGAAAAGTCCAGCACACAAAATAGAGTCCAGGACTTAAACACCAGAGACCACATTTTTGCAAAAACTTTCGGTATGAGCATCTTACAATCTTACAACTTGGTATAACGACCTGCTGAGTTAAAAAAAAATCCAGGTGGTGCAAGGTGTCCTAAAAATGTATTTGTCGTTGCAGATTAGTACTGTATAATTTCTAGATGACAGATTTAAAGTGCTACATTCCTACATCAGCTGCCATTATAGGGCAGTTATCGCTTGTCATTAAGAGACTCTGAACCTCTCTTCTGATTGGCTGACTGTTTTCTGAGTGATCCAATAAAAATATAGCAGATTTCAGGTAAAAACACTCAGAGAAACCAAATCCTGCAAAGGTTTGGATGGTGGGTCCAGGTGGGCGGGGCTTGGTGACTGCTTTGTTGTGACATCACAAAGTTCCAGAAGTCCTGACGGCTGGTTTTAAGGCTCAGTTTCTGAATACAGGCTGTGTGCATTTCTCTGTGGACTGAGGCTTTGATACTTTCACAGTATTAATATAGAAGCTAGAGCTGATCTATAATCACACTACACATGGACACAGACCTTTACACTGGAGGAGCTTTAAGTTACACAATTGTAGATTTGTGATGTGAATCACACAGAAATAAATGAGGAAACACAGTGAAAACAGATTTCAAGCTTTTAATGGATTTACCAAACAACGGTAATAGGAAGCAGTGCTGTGCACAAATGAAAATAATCAACTGAATTTAGGTTCATTTATGCTGGGGAAAGAAATCCTGTGCATTAGGGGTTGAAAACAATTTAGAGGGCTCCCTGGTGGCCTCGGGGTGAAGACGCACATGTCCACATGTCATTTCCCATTTCTCTCTCATTTCCTGTCAACTCTGTACCATCTGTCTAATAAAGGAATTCAAATGGCCAATAATTTTTGGTGGTATGTAAATGCTCAGTTCAATAAATCAAAGATCTTGAAAAATGAAAGGATTAGAGGCGTTTAAAGATGCAGAACCTTCCCTCCAGTCACTCGAGTGGCTCATCTTAACATATAGATAGTTGATTCTCAGCCTCAAAGCGTATCTGCTCTCACTTCTCTAAAGAGGAACGGTCTTTTTGGAAAATAAGAATTTTCCAACCACCAGTAAAAGGATGGATGTTGGATTCCAGTAATTTTCACTTGGCACAGATTTTCAAAATGTGAGATTTGGCACAAACCTTGTTTAAATGTTAGAGACTATAGAGGTTTTGGTTGAGAGGTTGGTCTCTTCAGCAGGCGGACTAAGTGCCTTGATGAAAGCTGGTTCCTGCTTTATCCCATAAAATTCAAATGGGGAAAAATTAGACACATCATTATGTAATGCTTTTAGTGGGTTAATAATTACGGGTACATGCATTTGGTGATTATTTCATTTTCAGAAAATGGCACCAGACATTCTGGGAATGAGGAGCGTCCTCCAGAAGTAAAAACCAGTAACTCTGACTGACTGTCTCCTCTCTGTCTCTCTCAGGCACCGTTTGCTCTCAGCCTCATCAGCAGAAAGTTAACCATGGAGCCAAAGGTCACTGTTAATGCCAGGATTGTCGTGGTGGGGGCGTCAGACACAGGTTTATCGTTCCTTGAGGTGCTCTGTTTCTGGTGAGTTTGAGCTCCTCTGTCATTTTTCCTCCCAGATGTGCAGTAGGTTGCATAACGCAGCAGTGACTGATAATGTCACAGCGTTTCCTCTGCTGGATTTAACACAGCCAGATTAACCTGTTAGGGAGCCCTGGGGCAAAAATTTGCTGTCAGGCCCCATTAACCCCCCTTCCCCTCCCCCACACACACACATACACACCTCTCACCATCTGTGCGTTGTGTATGGAGCCTGTCGTCGCCAAGTTCCCATCTAGGACAGTGCACACAGCAGACTTCACATGGCGGCTTCATTATTTGCTCAGAAACCAACCAGCACTTAAATTCCCTGATCCCAAGTTTTCACTGAGTTTGTTGTAATTTGATTAAAGTATAAGGCTGATAATACTCTGTCTTTCCTGTTAAGTAATCCCACGAGAAGACCAAAACAAACAGTGAATTAATCCAACTAACAAGTATTGTGTGTATCAAAAGCCTGATCCTGCTTAGCTGTTGTCCCTAAATTCCATTGTTGGCGAGACTACAACAGCGTGGCCAGCACTATAATCTCGAATGTCGCTGACTGAGTGAGTGAGCGATCATAGTTCCATCATTGGTGTGTGTATGTATATAAACCAAATAAATACAGCTTAATTAGCCAGAATCACAGCTCAGTCTTTGGCTTAAACTGATGTGTTTTATTTTAGCAGCAGCTTGGAAATGTCTTGGAAGTTAACATGTAGTGTTAATGGGCCACGTTTGAGTCTCTGTTTCATACTTGTTCTGTTGTCTGACAGAAACAGGAAAATATGTAAATGAGAACAGATTTGTTGGAAATTCGGCTGTATTAAAATACTGTCCATGTGAGGAGGAGGAGGAGGAGGAGGAGGAGGAAGAGAGAAGCAAACAGATAAAGGCAGAATGCAAATAGCCTACGACACAGTCCAGCCATATACCAGGTTTTGACCTAGTCTTGTAGTTTATTTTGACTCAATCCCCCATACACCCCCCTCCTGCCCCAAATATTCCCCAGTGCTCCAAATGTGGATAAATCCGCTGCTGAAAGTAGTCCCCAACAAATACAGTACTCTGTCCTCCTGTTTTTAAAGATGTATGTCTTCAGTAGGAACCAGTGGGCTTGGGGCTGAGTGACAAAGCAGGAGGCGGACTAACATATTGTTGGTTTTGGTCTGTCCATGACAGAGCCACACACCGAACCAACATCAAACCAGAATGACTCCAGGCAGAGGAAACACTGTGACTCTGAATCTGCCAGTAGCTCTCTGTGTGTTTAACACAGGCAGGTAACAGAAGAACAGTCACTTTTATCTCCAACAGCCAGTAAACACAGACGCGTCGGTTCACACCACATGTGGTTAAAACACAAAAGAGTCTTCCATAAATAGCACTGCGATGATTCAGGAGGTATAATAGACAGCTGGCAGCTGTTATAATGAAAAGTATTCACATGATCATATTTATCACTGATTCTATATAGAGAAATACTCCACAGTGTCCCCTCAGCCCAAGGAGAGCAGTCCCTCACTAAAGCTTCTCTTTCATTTCTTTATCGGCTTTTATTCCAGGAATCCAATCTCTGGAAATGTCACTTGACTCCGGGTCGGACATCTTACATGTTTGCCTTCGTCCTCGCTTTGTGAGATTAACTGCTCCAGCAAATAATAAGAAGCACAGGGCTGCTGATTCAGACCCCGGCGATAGCTGCCAGGCAACCAGGGTTGTTGTTTTGTGCGAGTGAGATCTCACAGCTCGCGGAGCTGCTGAAGCTGGCATGGCACCGGTGCCGGGGTGGGTGCACGCAGCTGTCTGAGGCCTGGCATTCAGGAGGGCCAGCGCTGGCCCCCCTTTAATTAGCCACTCCACTGTTTCCCCCTGTCAGGGATCTGCTGCAGCGATCTGTGTTTGCTGTCACTAATGAGTTGACTAATGAGACAGTTAGTGTCCGCTGAACTAATGGTGAGGCGGCGACACATTGAGAGGGTGAATGATGGGTCAGTTTCGGCCTGCTGGGGCCCCCCTTATCAGCCCTGCCCAAACGTCCAACCCCCTGCCCCGCACACCGCCTCCACCCCAACACAGCTTTCCATGTGCTCATTGAATCCAGCCCAGCAGCCCCAGCCCCCCCCCCCCCCAACTCCATTACTGACTGGGACAGGGTCAGACAGATAAAGAGCTCTGCGGCGGCTCGGCCCTCTGCTCGCCGCGGTCAGGCTGCAGGGTCACCGCGGCCGTCTGTCACCGGCTGATAACAGAGCAAATCCAGAGCCGCTGATTCAGTCACATCCAGACGCCAATAATTGGCCTTAATGCCTCAGTGCTGCACCATAAATCCACCTCCTGGCACAGATTAACAAGCAAAGTTTCACTGCAGTCATTGTCTGCTGTTTGTTGGGATGATGATTATTGTTATTATTATTTTCATTAAAATAATAATTATTATTATTATTATTATTATTATGTTAAAAATCAAGGATCAAACCCTGACAACACAAAAGATTCTTATTTCATCTGTAAACACTAGAAAAACCAATCTACAGATTTTTATTCATTTTCATATGTTCATGTTGCTGCTCTCTACAAGTGAGTCATCTAGTCAGTTAATCCATTAGTCCATCAATAGAAAATGAAATAATTTTGATAATTAATCCATCAGTCGTTTCAGTTATTTATTCAGCAAAATGGCCAAAAGGTTTCTGGTTCCTGCTTCCAAATGGGAGAAGTACATTTTCTCTGCTTAACTGTGAAACCTTTTATGGGTAAAATAAGCAGATGGAAGTGTTTATTATTGATTAATCCACTGAATAAAATACCAGACAAATCAAGTTTACAGAATTGGCTCTAATGCTGCCAGAGATCTTAAGCTGACTAAATCTCTGCTAGTTGACAAATTTGTCGTGAGTATTGTCCAGGCGTATAACTATGTGTGTGTCCTTCTGCGTATCCGGTCAGTTCACCAGCGTTGTGGCGTCTGGTGCTGTAGATCTGTGCCGGTGGGCGTTAATTTAGCAGGAAGCTGAGATAAGAACGGTGCAGGAGGTGATCAGAGGCGTCGGTGTGATAAAGGCTGGACACTGCAAGGTACACACTCTGCTATTCACCAAACGCAGGAGCTGGAGCTGCTCTTATCAGCTGTGTAATGTCCTGAAGGCCAACACAAAGGATGTCATTTGCATCACAACAGATGTTTTTTTTTTTGTTTTTTTTCACTGTGGGCAGTAAAAACACACCAGAGTGAGTCCACAGTGCTTTAGTGGGCTGGAGAATTTCCTCATGAGAAAATTTCAAACAGACAATCAACATCGGAGATTTTATATTTACTTTATATTTTAAATTATAAATATTATTTTGATCCATTTTCACAAGTGCATGGTATTAGAGGAGAAAGTGGAGGCTACATGTGTACTACATAGTCACAACCGAAATCCCATGTAGACCATCGACAGTCGAGATTTCGTGATCCCGGAGCTGCATTACTGACATAGCAGACATTGTGTCAAAGGTTTAGTTTGCCCCACTCCAACAGATGCAAACAAAGCTAACAGGGTCGTGAGGGAGATATCAGGCAAACAGTGTGTGCACCTCCACAAAGACCTGAGAAGAGGTCTAATTATTCAGAAGAAGTGAAATCTACAGTGTGGGTGTAACACAGGCGCCTTTCTCACCAGAAACCTTGTTCCGTTATCTACTCTGCACATGATCTGTAATACTTTGCTCTTTCCACCTGGACTACCACTAACCATCCTTGACAGCTAACACTGGTGGAATGAAAGGAAATCTAACTGTCAGGGACACGTGTTAATCTCAGGTTTTAATTCAGATAAATTACATTGTTTTGCCCGTATGAATTGACACCGTCTTGTATAAGAGCTAATCCTTGATCCTACTGAACTCCTCTGCGCTAATGACATTAGCAGCTGCAGCAACAGCTGATATTAGGGCCAATCATCTTTGCAGATGTATCAGAGTTGATGATACAAACTGTCCTGACACACAAAGCAAAGTTAAGAGATTTATTTACTTTACTTACTTTGTTTTCGTCTTGACATTGGCTGACATTAGTCAGGCTTTCTAAAAGTTGTTCCACGTCTCCAGATGAAGACTGTAGGTTGCTGCAGAAATTAAAGTCGTCCTTTCGTGGAAAACATTCCTCTCACACTGTGTCCTGTAAGTGTTCACTGTGTTCTGTGAAAAGCACTCATGTTTTTCTGTGTTGTTTGTTCCCTCGTAGCCCTCACCTGAGGTTCAACAACCTGACCCTGGTCTCAACACACGGTTTCCCCGGCGACTATAACCACGAGGACGTCGGATTCCTGTCCACAAGGTGAGCGAGTATAAGAATGTAATAACAGACATGAAAATGGAAAATCATTGTCTGGCATTAAACACTAGGTATGTTTATATTAAATCTAATACTGTGATTATAACAGAATCAAAATGTTCCACATAAACAACTCAATCCGGATAAACAGGCCCAAACAGGTGGTTTTTCACAGGACATATTCTCCTCCGTCTTGATGTGAATCCATGGGGACGTACGTTTCTCCACGTCCCAAACACAGCAGCTTCTGTGCTGAGCTGGTCCTCTGCACCCAGAGAATTTGTTTTTAATACAAACTCTTAAAGGACTGAACATTGTTGGACACCAAGACGAGAAAAAGATAAGATAGCTGTTGAGGAAGACGAATGCATGACGTATTCATCATGTGCATGATGTAACAGGCATGTGAACACCATCTGTGTGTATATGTTGTTTTTAGCTTGAAGAAAAACTGTTCAAGCAGAATCTAAGTTTCTCCGTCTTACCGTGGTTGTTTCCTGCAGTCATGCATACAGCAGCAGAGACTTGGCCCAGCTCCCTCTTCACTCCTGCATCAACGTGGTGACCGGGAAGATGGTGAGCATCAACAGGAAGTCCAAACACATCCGGGTGTCTGGTGGTAGGAAGGTTCCCTACGACCACCTCATCCTCTGTACAGGCCTGCAGCACCGGGTGAGACGAGCTCGCATACATGTCACACAGAGCATGTGATTATTATACATTTATCAAAACACAACATTTCATGTGACAGTCATGTGAGTGCTACTGTCCTGATTGTGAAGTACCCCCAATATTTATAATATGGAACCTCGTCAGAGCCATACAAAAACTAGAAGAGCTCAATATTCACTGTTGAATCCAAACGCACTGGATGTGTAGCACATAGTGAACTCCTCCCTCTTTGCATTACATTACATTACATACATAACATACATATCAACCAACAGCAGTGAGAACAGCTGAGCCCGCAGGAGCTCGTCAAAGTTTTGTTCCTGTTTTTAAATCTGTCATTGTTTGTCTTTTAAGTGTGTCAACGTGAACAACCAGACTGTCAGTGTGTGACAGTCAAACACAAAGACAGACTCACAGGTTTTAGACTTGAGTCGTCTCTGGTGCACAGTCCTTATTCCTCTGTGTTTAACTGCACATCCAGCACGTAGCTGCTGCTGCAGCTGCCTTCTGTGCACAGGAGCTGGCTAAAGAGTTCAGAGTGAAAACACAGAGAAATGTTGTGGATCATTTTGTGCATTAGTGTGCAAATTAGAGCCCAACTATCAGCTGAGACATTTGGTGTCAGTTATGTTATTCATTTGATTAATTTCCCCTCACAAAGAGGTTTGATCCACCTGTCACATCCACTGCTCCTTCCTCAGCTTCTGAAGATTTTACTTTTGTATTCTAAGCTAAAGGAAATGATAGTTTTGGATGGTGTCAGTTTGAGCTACGCTGTATGAAATAAATTGACTTTTACTTTATCAAAGATTTTAAACTGAAGGCTGAGTCTAATAGTAGTTTGTATGACGTGTAGTTCCTAATCATGATGTAGATGCTCGTGTCTTGATCCATAGGATTTTGGACCTAAGCAGATATTCAAAGCAACCATTACAAGCAAAATACTGTAACCAGTGAGAATATGACCTCATTCATCCGTCCATTCACAGCGCTACTCATCCTCTATGATTCATTATTTATGTCCAGATCCTGAGCAGTTTTCACTGAAGGTACTTTATTGTTAGAGGCGTACGTCATGAATCAAATGTGATGTAACTGGTGTATTTATGTCATGTGGTGCTATAGGTGCCCTGCCCCTCCGGTGTGGACCTGAGCCAGCCGGTCACTAATAGCCAGCTGCAGCCTCAGTCTGCTCACCGCAGGTACACCGGGCCCGTCCCCTCCAACCTCTTCACCCTCAACGACCTCTATGACTGCATGGCTGCTCGCCGCTGGCTGTGCGCCAACTTTGTAGAGCTGGAGGGTAAGTGAACACCCCCTCCACACACACACGCACACACACACACACACACACACACACACACACACACACACATAGAGAGAGAACCTAAAATTAATCTGCAGTAGTATGTCATTACTCAGCCAGTCAGCGCTGAAGTGGCCCGGTATAATTAGCAGCTAATTAGCTGCAGAGAAATCTTTCATCTCTGTGAATCAGGTTGGCCTCTTCCATCCACTTTCCATTATCATATCACTTTCTGAGAGCCAGGCTTTTCAGAGCAGGAAAAAAACACACAGTGTCATTAAGCAAAATTAATCTGCTCTCTGAAGGAATTGTGCAGTGATCTAGAGTGAGGCTTTTATACATACTAATTAGTTGATCCCAGTCATAAAGGAACACCATTAATAAATGCAAATTGCGATGGCAGACTCCAGCAGATACCATGTTTATTTCCATATTTTAATAAGAACAACAAGAGGAAACAGTAAGTGCATGTAAATTTAAGCATTAGATTAAAGCATAGCAGTATTTTCTCTTCTGTCTCGGCACCAGTTTCTTTAAGGATATTTTTCTTATTGACAACAAATCCCATGAAAACACAGAAACCAATGGACTTTCTGATGTCCCCACTCTCTCTGTGCCTCTCATCTCCAAGCTGTTTCTACTGAAGGTGTAACTCTTTAAAAATGGTTCACAGTTATTCAGTTATTATACACAGTAATTTCCAACAGCTGGACTCTGTAGTTTTTTTTTTATCAGACAAACAGGAGTCAACAGAATTTGTAAAAAACAAAAAACAAAAAACAAACAGGAAGTGACAGCAAATGGACGTAAAAATTATTTGATAAAAAAAAAAAAAACTGTCTTCCTCCGGAGGTTTATAAAGCTTTAACATTTTAACCTTTAAGCACTGCGCCTCGACTTCCCCTCTCTGTAGACTTCACAAAAGCATGTTTCAGCGGGTAGCGGCAGTCGTAGTAAAAGGAATAAAGGGAAGAAGTGAGCAGTGGGATATAGATTTATTGATCACAGAGGAGAAGCTCTGCGTTCTGGTGGCCTTGACGGTTCAGCAGCAGCACTCCTCCTGTTCAGCACCACGGACAGAGACGTTGAACAGCAGCTGTTTAAAAGCTGTGTTCATCTCTGACATCACCTCTACTCTGCTACTGACAAACATTAGACTGGCTTCAACTCTACAGCCTGATTTGAGTTCTCACAGACTGTGTAGAGGTGTATCAGCATTTCTTTGAGCTCTTTCTTGGCTGCCATCACGTTTTTAATAGGTTTATTTTAATGTTTATTAATTATTTTTTCTTTTTTTGTTTAAAAACATACCAGAGTTATTGTAAATGTCATATCGTTTGGTTGTGTGGAGAAACCTTAATATAATATACGGTGATTAAAAAAATATATGAAAAAAGGAAGTGGAGAAATGTTGCTGCACTCATTTTTAAAGCTAAATATTTTCTTCTTCTTTGTTTTATTTGAAGTGTTGATCCATAAGAAGATATATTTGTGGTTTTAAGAACCAAAAACCATCTCAGTGTAGTTTCACATCTCCTCTCTCAGGCTTCTCTCTGGAGCTCTAGTAACAACAGGTCAGTGAGCCAATCAGAAGAGAGGAGGCTCTGAGCCTCTCTTCTGATTGGCTGACTGTTTTCTGAGTGATCCAATAAAAATATAGCAGATTTCAGGTAAAAACACTCAGAGAAACCAAATCCTGCAAGGTTTGGATGGTGGGTCCAGGTGGGCGGGGCTTGGTGACTGCTTTGTTGTGACATCACAAAGTTCCAGAAGTCCTGACGGCTGGTTTTAAGGCTCAGTTTCTGAATACAGGCTGTGTGCATTTCTCTGTGGACTGAGGCTTTGATACTTTCACAGTATTAATATAGAAGCTAGAGCTGATCTATAATCACACTACACATGGACAGAGACCTTTACACTGGAGGAGCTTTAAGGTGCATGTCTTTGTGATAAAATGATCTGTTTTGTATCCAACATTATATGAAATCCAATACCAACAAAAAAGCACAGTACACCATGACTTCATGCACATATTAAATCTGAGTTGATGTTGTCTTTGTCTCACAGACCTCTGGAATGACAGCCCTGATGCTTCAGGCTTTGTGCTTTTAAATTGAATATAACCAGTGAAAGAAGGAAAGGACACGCTGTCTTTATATAGGAGCTTGTATGTTCTGTAAATTGATTTGTTTCTCTCCATGTGTTAAACACACGGCTCATGGTTTAGGAAAAAACATATGAAGCTTTTCCTCTCTTCCAAGGCTTCACACTATTGTTGACTGGAAAATCATTCGTACGATGCCTCAATAGTGAAAAGACAGAGCTCCTTTGCAAAATAGTCTTTAGTTTTAGTTTTAGAAATAGTTTTTTTTTAGAAATCAATGCTTCATGGTCACTCCTAAGTTTCTCTAATTGTAGAGTTTGTATTTGGAATATAGCGTCTGTCGTCCCTACAATCACAAGTAACCACGAGAAAAACAGAAAAACATTAACCCAAACTGAGCACAAGTTTTCTTTATTTTTTACTCTTTAAGAAGAGAGTCAAAAACCATCATGGCGTCTCACATCTGTCAATCAGGAGCAGAAAAAGCAGCTGCTGCTGTTTGTTTGTTTCCTGAGCCGTTAAAAAAGTACGAGCACATATCACTTCAGTTTCAGTTGTAGATTTGTGACGTGGTTTTCATAATGTCGCTGTCGGTCTGTTGGTCCAGACTGAAATATCTCAATATATATTGGATGGATGATCATGAAATTCAGTTAGATATTCTTACTGCTGAAAGTCTTTTTAAAGAGGGGATCAGCTCTCTGAGTCTCTGCTGCTGTTCAGATTCTCTGTCATGTTGAAGAAACTTGGAAACAGCATGACAACACCATGCTAACCGTTTCTCTCTCGCTGGTCACCAGATAAAGCCATCGTGTACGGAAACAACATCGATGTCTACACCACAGTGGAGACTTTGCTCGGCCTTGGCGTCCACGGGTCTCGTATCCATCTCGTCCTCCCGCCTCCTGAACCCGGCGTCTCCTGCTTCGGTGACCCCGCCGTGGAGGAAGCCGTGGCGACTGCAATGGAGAAGGCCGAGGTCCAGGTCCACCGCAACTGCCTGCTGGCCCAGATGAACAACGGCGAGCACCCCGACCTTCTCACCTCAGCGTCGTTCACCACCGACTCAGAGCCTCTCCATCTGCAGTGTGGCGTAGGTCTAATTCTCACACTGTTTACACAACCAGTTATTAGTTCCTACAAAATAAAACATTCTCCAAACAATGGTGGGTGAGCAGCCAAGGCGTCTGGTGGAGCTGGAAAAGCTCGACAAGCTGAATTCACCAGCATGTGGCTGCTGGTTGGATGTTAATTTCCCTCCTGGAAGCCGGCTGTGTTTGTCAGGCACAAAATTATTCTGGTGTGTTTCCCATTTTTATTGTTTCAGACAGCGGAGGATTCTGCTGTCTGGTTATGTTTGTTTGTGTATTTGTTTGTCCCCCGATATTCTCCATGTAAGAGTTGTGTTTACTGCGAGACGGTGCGGGCTTCAAAATGTTCAAAAATGTGACTTTGCAAATGCTGCTTGAGGAAGGAAATGAATTCAACACGTTTGTTCAGCTTCGGTGACGCACTCGGTGATCTGTGGTGAGAAACAAACTTTATTCCAACTTCATTCATCTGATCAGAGTTTCATTTTGCTCTCATCAAGGTGTGCTGTTGATTCTCATCTTCCTTCTGGCTCTTCAAAACAAACATCAGTAATCCAGTTGAAACAGTCTCCACTCAATGTCCACTTACTTGTTTTGGAGTTTTCGACTGTATCAAGCGGTGCTCATGATCGTGAGCTCCTCTTGTACTTTTCCACTTGAAGTTCAACTCTGGAGATTTTAAGCGTTTTAGTTTCGTGACACGTGAGCAAAATACATCTGCTGATGAAGTCTGTGAGGTATGAGTGAAAGCTCCAGAACAGGCTTTCAACAGAACAATCGTGATCATGAAAAGTCAGCTGACCACAAAGACACAGAACAAGTATAAAGAGATATAAAACTGCCACAGAGACACAAACTGAAAACAAGTAAAAATAGATACAGAACAACTTGTATTGAGTCTGTTTTCACGTCCTGTTTGTAAAATATGCTAAATATGGTGGTAAATGTTTGTAGCAGCAGCAGGATCTTTACAACAAACAGGTTCTTAAGAAAAGCTGAATCCGTGGTGATCGTTGCCACCCGCCACATCAACAGAGCCGGTCTCTGCCGTCTGCTTCCCTCTTCAGACTCCCTGTAGCCAAAACACATTTAAACACTTTAATGTCACACGCTGTTTCTGTTTGGTTTTTATTGACCTATTGTCCTTTATCTCTTGGTCTTGCTGTTGTATTTATGTGCCCCGTGTTTTTATGCACCGCTGTATATCCACTCGCCGCACTGGGGACAAATAAAGCGACTGATAGATGAAAAACACAAAGCAAGTATAACTGACTGCAAACAGATGTATAAACGACAACAGAAAGATTTCTCAATATTTTCTCATGTAACTTGTAAATTATTCTTTTAACGAAAAGACGAGGATGAAACTGGCAGTTGAGGGAACAACAACTTTCACTCTCAATCTGATCATGATTTGATTTTCCTCTTCCAGGTGTTCATCAACCTCTCCAATAAAGGAGTCGACTACGACGCCTTCACGAGCATCAACAACTCCTTCCTGGTCTTCGACAGCCGACTCGTCATAAACGCCGCTTTCCACACCAGCGACTCGGCCGTTTGCGGCGCCGGACCGCTCACCAAGTTCTCCCGTTGCTACCACACGGACGAGTGGTCGCACGCCCACTTCAACTCCAAGGAGGTGGGCCGGGACCTGGCAGCCGCGATGCTGCCCCTCTTTGACCCGACGCTGGATCCCGCCGACGATCCCCCGCCTGAAACGGATCGTCTCGTCCCGCTGTACAAACAGGCCAAGATTCGAGGTTTGATTTCTGAATAACAAACTCAAAATGTTTGAGATTTTGGTCTGAACAGACTCCTCATCTGAGTCTGGGTCTGACTGAGGCTGAAACCTGTGGCTGAGTCTCTCTGATGTTTCACCTGTCCACCTGGAGCAAGCAGGTGGCGGTGGGCGGGGCATGAGGCCTGATCCAGAATTTCTCAATGAGGAATAAAGCGTAGATGAGCTTCCAGCCAGTTTTCCCATTTCTTTTCACTTTTTATGTGGGAAAACGATGTTAAACAAAATATTAATCAGAGCAGAGTATTTTTTACAGATTTTAAAACATGTCTGGAGGAACTAATGATATCCTCAATGTCCTTCAGCTTCCCTGTATAAATAAAGGTTTTCGAACATAGAAACACCAACAGGATCCTCCTCTATAATGTAATGATAGTGTAGGTTTGTTACAGATCCAGTTTGATTATTTCAGGGGATTTTTTTTGTTTGTTTTTTTTGTCGTCAGTTTCCCATGGCTCCAGATATTATAATACCCATGAGCCTCGTCTGCTGTTGCTACAGAGAAGAAGTTAGCGGGATATTCTTCTGCACAGCTGTTCATCTTTTATACTGATGATTCATCCAGATTGATCCGGTTTCATGTCCCTCCAGGACTTGAAGTGCTCCAACTGTGAGTCACACAACATTGTCTGAACGGAGCTCGTCCCACTTCGCTGCTTTTCTGCTCTTTCATTCGATTCAGTAATGAGTAGGTTTATCATAAATACAAAATTCCTTCACATTCAGCAGCAGAGTTCATATTTCCATATATTTTCAGGGTTTGTGAGTTTACCTCCATCCCCTGCTCCGCGTCCTTCTTCCTGTCCGTCTGTGTTTTTGTCGGCTTTTATCTGAGAGAATTCGTGCTGCCAATATTTTTTCATTATGCTTTTGTGAAACATTTTCCAATCTTTCACCCACCCACCCACCGTCGATGTTATTGTGGCGGACACTCAAACCGCAGCCCGGCGTAACAATGCCGTATTGTGCTGCCGTGTATTCAGAGTAACCAAGGCCACTCCACACATTATATAAACACAACAGCCACTCTGCTTCGCCCCTCTCTCAGAGATGAAACACACATGAACTTTTCAGAGGGATTTCAATGTTGAGGGAGAGCAGAGATGCCGTATCGCGGCATGAGTTTATTGCCTCGGCTCTGTTTTCCTCTGTGGGTGGATGCTCGCTGTGAAATGTATGTTATAATTTATCTGCTCTTGTCCCAGTTTTGGTTCTAGTGCGTATTTCAGCACTGAAACTAATCTTATATGGATATGTTCCTCTGATAAAAACACCATGATAGTTGATATGAATCATGATATGATTTACTACATTTTTCGGCTGTGACTAACAATTATTTATCTGGTTATTCATTTAGTCTTAGTTCAGAAAATAGGGGGAAAAAGCCTGTTGCAACTTCCCAGGGTGAAAGATGACGACTTCACATTCTTGTTTTGTTCAAGTCCAAAGACATTTCACTTATTTACAATGATAAAAAAAACTGAACCTGAGAACTGAAGCTGGAACAAGAGTCCTGGACATTTTTGTTTCATCAACAATTAATTGATGATTATCGACTAATCAGTTAATGAAACGACCAAAAACTGCTGTTTTTGCTTCTTCTGAGTTTTCGTCTTATTCACGCGCTGATGGATCTTCATGTGTTCTGTCACAGCATGAATTATATGTGTTTCCTTCTCTCCTCAGGTGGGAAGCTGCCTGGCGGATACAACTACCTGCACGTTACTAAACCGTCTGCGAGCAACCTGACTGGTCCTACTGTTAAACATGTAAGTTTTTACTCTCCGACAGTAGTCAGTGTTTGTTTTTCTCTGGTTTGCTCATCAGCACTTTCCCACGATCATTCTTTCTCTCTCGGTAAGGTGTGTTCACAGTGTGGTCAGTGACACGAGTCTAAACAGGTCACTGATCCACGTGTAGAGAAACAGCAGCAGGACGGTAAAACCTGACGAGCTCACAGAGACTTAAACACAGGAGCAGTCCGGCTGCAGCTGATTAGCGTACAAACTCTTTTGACTTAGATATTTTTTTGTGCATTTTTATACCTTTTTAGACAAGAAACGCAGGGCAGAGTCGAAGCGGGGACTCGCTGCTCGGGGTGTTTGCAAAACCGTGTTCTGTGAGGTCAAAGTGACCTTGACCTTTTGAAAATCTAATCAGTTTCTTCGTGAGTCCAAGGCTGTGTCAGAAATCACTCACTACTCCGTGTATATATTTTGTGGTGCTGTCCGAACATATAGTGATAATTATTATACCCTATATAGTGGACTGATAGTATCCCACAATGCATCATGGAAAGTAGTGTACAATCAATGATCAATGAGCGGAGCGGAGAAAATGACAGAGTGATATCGGAAAGTGTTTCTTCATTTTGCGGATGAGCTCATGGTACAGTCGTCTACACAGCGCTCCCTACGTGGTGATCAGGGAGGAGAGAGTGAGCGAGTGATGTCACACACAACCCAAGTGAACGTTCGCTCCAGCACTTGAAGAAATTCCCCGGAGGCGTTACTGAGATATCGTGTTCTCGGGAACAGGACGGACGTCGGGACGGACAACACGAAGACTCGACGCCTCTGGCCTCGACTGTCGCCGGCGCAGAGGCATAAACAGAGAGCCACGATTTTAATTGGATTTTTATATCGCTGCTCTCCGTCTGCACAGCCTCAAGAAATCATAACAGATATCAGGTCGGACGTGAAAGTTACTTGAATTCCAGTGTCATTGTTAGACACAGACTCAGGACCACACACATGAAAACGGCCCAAATCTGAATTGAAAATGCTGACACTTATTAGAAAAGATGTGTCGTATCATGGGAGGGGAATATTAGACTTGAGCCACTTGCACCTGCAGTGGGAACACAGCCCGACACTCCCACAGGACTGGGTGTAACACAGGAACCTGCACTGTACTCAGACTCGGACTCCTGTTACTGCCACTGCTGGTAATGTGCAGGTTCTGATCTGTCACTGAACTCCAGCGTCGGACATGAGCAGAATAACTTTTCATTCTTACTTTCACTAAACAGGAAGTGACACATTAATACACTGCTTTGAAAATCAGTCCCAACATCCTTGTTTAGTTTCCAGACCCGCAGCTCTGATTTTATCATCAATTCAAAGAGGTCTGCTTTTGTTCTGACTGACAGTCGAGATCGACGCAGCGGTTCAGGCCGTTCTCAGTCGACCCACTGAAATAACAGCTCCTACAATGGACACGTTTCTTGAATCAACATGACAAACATTAAGTTAGCTGCTCCTGCTATCTGCTTATGTGTCCACTGACAAGGATTTTGACAGGATGGCTGCGTCGCTCGTCCCAACAGAAATCAGCTCACACGAACACGGAGCTGAACGATGGCTGGTTTTTTAGTCTCTCAGCAGCTCCTCCTGATCTACCAGCTTCTCTCACTAACTCCCATGTTCTTTCATGAAAAGCTACAGGACAGAGGGATTGTGACCGGACGAGTGGAGACGGGGAACTACTTCTGTTTGCATCTGGACTGCTTCGAGCTGGTGGAGACGCTCACCTGCCTCTCTCTGAAGCCCCTCCCCGTCTCCAATTACCTGACTCTGTATGGGAAACACCAGCAGCTGCTGGGCCAGCTGCTGAGCCGCTACAACCAGGCCCTGATCCACGATCTGTACAGGTGGGACAAACACTGACAACCGATGACAGATCTGTTTACAAATCACACACGCACAATTTGAGGGAAGAAAATCTACATCTTCATGAAAGTTTCCGGCCAGTTTCCATTTTGTAAACGAATGAATCTGTGGTTTAACAATGTTGTGAAGTGACAAGGAAAGAGGTTTTAGAGAACACAGGAAGTCGTGTGATGTAAACAGCAGTGAGGACTTTAGCTGTGTCCCAGGTCAGAGGCCGCAACCCGAAACGAAATGAGGCGGTTCTGGTCTATGGAGGATTTTTGCTGCGCAGCAATGAATCTTGGGTAAGGTTTGGCCACGAGGGATCCACCAGTTGGAGCCCTTGTTGCCCAGGTAAAGAAGGATGCATTCGAAGGAGTCTTTGAAATGGGACAGTCTAGTTATTTACATCACGTTTGACGAGACAGAAAAAAACAAAACACAATCAGACAGGTTTGAAACAGAAGCAGCAGCGTGTCCATGCTGTGTAAACCACTTTAATTGGTTGTCAAACTCAAAGTGCCCACACCCAAAATGTTGGTTATAGCCCCACATTGCAGAGTGAAACTGTAAAACAGTGGTAAGTAAGGTAGGTCAAAGCTGAAGCTGGACGTGAGTCTGTAAACTGTGATGTGACCTTTTTGTTTTGTTTGTCTAACCTGGAGCTTTGTTTACAACCTGGATCAATGATGAAAATACACCTCTATTATCTTCTGTCTCTGTATCAGCTGTTTATTCTAGCAAACAGAATAAATCTCAAACTGAAGTAAAACCAGGTCATAAATATGAATCTTATTTTCTCATTGGAGAGGTAAAACTTTTTTTAGCTTCAGAGACTCGGGACGTAAACAAACATCAAACACTTCCTGTACAATAGACCAGCTGAAATGAGCAGTTTGGTGAAGAACACGACGTCTGTTTTTAGTTTGTAGTCAACAAAGATTCTTCACCAAATTGCTGTTTTCTGCACTGTAATTGTGTCATGTGGTGTTTCTGTTATTTTGTCCCTGCAGCGGTATAATTAGATTTATGCAGTTTGTGTCAGTGATTGTACAAGAATACACGTTGCCGTTTTTCAGTCCTGTCAGATTTTGGTTGTAAAATGCGGCAGATGACAGGTGCTGCGGTTTTTAAAAATAGCTGTTTTCATAACCAAGTTCTGAGTAAAACCACGAGCCACTTTCACTGTTTGAAGTTGTGTTTCATCAGAGAGAGGAAGTGTTTTCAGAAAGGAACCACTGACTGACGACCCCGCGCGTCCAGATGACACAGAAGAAGAGTGAGCAGGAGAGGGTCAGGCCTGCTGCCTTTTGTCCTCACGTCGTCTCTGTGTTTTCTGGTGTGACTTAGCAGTGTGTCGGAGTGTGTGTGTGTGTGTGTGTGTGTGTGTGTGTTTGTTTGTCAAACAGCGGGTGACCTGCTTCTGAGGTTTCAACACAAATGACCCACAGACATGGACGTCTATTGTCCCCCCCCCCGCCTTCTAATCTGTTTATGCAGCTCCCCAATCTGTCTTTGTGGCCGGTGGAGGACGAGACAAAGCCGGAGCCTCCCCGCTGCAGAGGCCGATTCCTCGCTACGCCACTCACTCAGCTGACTCGTAAAGTCATTGTGGAGGCTGACGGAGCATCATGAGCCGTTAAAATAATTGATTGACCGTGTGGCGGCCGGGGGTTATTCAGCCAGCACAGTTAGTGTGGCTTCTGGGCGTGTGTGTGTGTGTGTTTGGTTGCTTCAAGGGTTCACTGATTCTGAACTGTTATTTAAAGGGTCAGTTCATCCACATTATTAGGATTTCCTCTTGTGGTGTCGGACCGTGCAGAGCGTACAGTGATGGGAGAAGTTAAAGGACCCAGACCTCCATCTAAAACCTCTTTAATAACAGGAAAGGTTCTGCATTCAAGATCTTACTGATGTAAAAGTATAAAAATTAAAAGAGAAACGGGACATGACAGATGATGACACTGGAGGTGGAGCTACTACTTTATATACAGTTAATATACAGTTGGGCCTCCTAATCTCTGAGGGGTCATGAGATGATTAATGTCTGAGGAAACAAGAAAATACAAAGTCCTGCTGAACAGATTTCTATTCATGTTTTGGACTTTTCTCTAATATTTGCTCTTATTGTGAAATTCTGGAGAATTTTTGCCTCAAAAAGTTGTTGAAATGAAACTAAGAAGTTCTGAAGGAGAAATGTTACATGTTGTCGCTCTGAAATATGACAGGGTCCCCAACTGCTTTAAACCAGAAATATTTAAAATGTTTTTATTTATTTTCATGTGGAATCATAATCTGTAAAGCAGTGACTTGTGGGTAAAATCTGACACCTCCAATGAAAATATCTGGTCGCAACAGAAGATAAAGTTTAGTATAGTTTGTATCAAAACTTTTAATATTTTTTTTTTACTCCTTTAAATCCCAATGAATATCACCTGGTAACATCTGATCGTAATCAATGATTTAATAATAATTAATAATAAGTTGACCTGCGTGTGTTCAGATCGTCACTGTGTGTGTTCATGTGTCGTTCTCCTGCAGCTTCTTCAGACAGAGCTGCTGTTTGGCCGTTTATCACGACAGATTCTCCGACTTTGAGCAGGAGCTTCAGCAGATCACCTCGACCACACTCAAGGTTTGTGTTTTCATCTTAAAAATCAAACGGGTTTTTCTTTGTTCCTGTTCTCTCAGAATTACAATTCAAGAATAGTTACTCTGAACCTGTCGAAACATGCGTATATACCAAACGGTGTTGTGTTTGATTGTGCGTCTGTGCAGGACGATGAGTGGAGGCAGAAGGTGATGATGGGCGGACAGGACAGGTTTGAAGACGCTGAGACTCGAGCTGCGGTGAGGAGCAGCGCTGTGAAGTATCTGACCTACAACAGGAACCTGCTGCCCATGTTCGCCTGCCCGGGACAGCTGTGACAACGGACGACAACAACTTAACAAAGCGTTTTTAACCAGGTTAGATGTGTTTAAACTGCACAGTAAACTGTTCAACTGAAACACAAACACTTGTGTTTACATTCACTGTTTCTCATCAAAACAAACTGAATCTTTGAGGTTTGACAAACATGTTGAAAACCTGATTTCTGATCATTTGGTCGAAGCTGATGTCCATGTTTTCTTGAGTCCTTTTCTTCTCTACTGCTTCTTCTCCTGCTTCTTCTGCTTCTTCTTTTTCTTCTGCTGTTTCTTTTTCGTCATCTTCTTCTTCTTCTGCTTCTTCGCCTTTGTTGACACGTTGACACAGCAGGATTGCGCATCTCTTCACCTGCGTTTTGTGTTCACAACACAAACAAACATGGTGACCCACTCTTGAAAACATTACTCCAAAGCACGACTAGTGGTCAAAACCTTCGTGTGGTACTTGTTGGGAAGTTCAGCTGCACATGTGAAAACACTAGAATAAAAACTTTACTGTCAGCGGGTGGAGCTGATAAACGACCTCAAGTGATGTCACTTGAGTCAGCATCGGGTGGGTCTCTCTGCAACCTGCTCCTCACCTCTGCTTCAGGCTACATTAACCACTGCTAGTGTGACACACCTGAACCTCCAACCAAACTGTCTGTGGTGGAGTTGCATCGTGGGTAATGTAGTCACCAGCTTTTGACAAGCGGGAGGAATGAGTCGATCTCCGCGACGATTTTGATTCCTGTTTTCAACCAGTTAAATGTGAATGCGACAGCGTCAGAAGTTTAATGCTGAGTCAGCGGAACTCTTTTCATGCAGAAACGATCAATGTCAAACTTTTCAAGATTAACAAAAAGCTAATTTTCCAGTAATGATGAATTTCTTAATTTTAAGAAAAGTCCCTTTAATTAAAGTCGCCTCATTTGATTGTATTAGCATCAAATTTAAGTGACTTGTCAATAACTGAAGATGTTATTTAGAGTTTAGACAGAAAACCTTAAATTAGCATTGTGTGATATTATGTTTCCTGTTATATGGAAATATTTCATGTCACAGTAATATGAAATTAAGGAGCTTCCAATAAATAAAGTTCTTCCTCGTGATAAATTCTTTAGATTTGTTTCTTTAATTTGATGAAATTAAAAAAGAGTCTGAGCTTGTACAGACGTTTATAGAACATTTTACTCGTTTAAACATCAAATTAATTGAATGTTTAATCATTGAAAATCCCTTAATTTGATGTTAATCTGAGTTTGGGAAGTTACTTAAATAGTTTCATACGAGTAAAAAATAAAGAGGATTTCTGACACAGTTTGACTTTTTTGTTTTTATTTAACGTCTCCTCCACAATGTGCCAACTGTAACTGAGTATGACCTCTCCCCTCTGTGACTCTGCAGCAGCGTGACCAATCACACGGCCCGTAGAGCTGCTGGAGATGAAAGTGGATGTGTGGCTTTTTAGAGGAGGAGGGGGAGGGGGAGGAGGTGCAGGAGGTGGAGGGTGTCACCCTACAGCTGTATGCTAATGAGGCTGAACTGAAGTCTGTCGGGAAAATAACCGCACACACACACAACCAACATATGTCCTGCAAACAACCCGCAGGCTGGGAAAACACACACACACACACACACACGCGCACACACTCTCTCTGCTGGTGTGGAGATAGAAAGTCAGATTTCACGATGAGTCGTGTTTATAGATCTGTCCCCAGAAATCTTCATGTCCAGGGACTTTTTAATCACATATTTCCATGATACTTTCCACGCGTCCACAGTTTTCTGTAGTGATGTAATGATATTTTAATTTCCAATAACCTCACTGCTATGGTCTTATATTCTCTCGTTGCTGCTTTGGAGAGTGTCCTTAGTGTTTAATACAGTTTTATGATGGTTTAATAATACTGTGTTCATGTTAAATTTTACACAAGGACTTTATTCTCCCAAGGACGTGGTGGTGTTTACATTTGAACCTGTTGGAGCTGCATCATGTTTTATATTCTCCAGCTTCTGTTTCCACATGTCAGTTCATGGTGTTTTCATGATATTTAATGAAAGCTCCCTGTGATATAACAGTATTTATACTGGACACAAGGACAAATGTGAAACAAAGCTCACACACTGTAGAGAAAACTCCATCTTATATAAAGTGTTTTTGTCAGTTACTGAGAACTTGTTTCAGGGATTTTCTATAAACCAGCATCTAAAACTAAACTGAATGAGGAGGTTCGTTTCAACATAATCATAAAAAATGGAGAATTTTTTTTAAAACAAGTTGGAAAAGATTGAGATTATCTCTGAACTGTTTCACTTGTTTTAAGAAAAAGACTCATGATGGACAAAAGGAAACGGATTTTAAAACATTGAGATATTATAGATGAAGTAGTTATAATGAGATAATGACTCATGTCAGCACTTGAATGGTTATTGATCATAGATCAGCTCAGTATAAACTGATGCTGAGCTCAACGGTGACGCATCAACTGAAACCTGCTGCTTCCCAAACATCTTTCACCCCCACGCGCTTTATTTCTGCAGCGTTTCAGAGGTCTCCTTGTGACATCCCGTCATCCCTCACGGTGGACCGAGCGGGTCAGATCGGACTGCAGGAATTGGGTTTGATGTTTTTCTTTTCTTTTTTCTTTTTTTTTATTATCCCGGAGCTAATCTCGGTTTGCCCCATTTGGGGAGACAGAAAGAGCGCACTGATTACGCACAGCACGCGCCGATGGTATCTAGGGGCCAGATTGCTTCTGGGCCCCCCCCCACCCCCACCACCACCACCACCACCACTACTACTACTACTCCCTTTTTTTTCAACTGTGCAATTTCCTTTTCAATCACGGCGGGTCTACAGCTTGCACAAGCGCTGCCATTGTGATGCAAAGCAGGAAACCCTCCTCTCGCTATTAATTATGTATGCGTAAAATGACGGATTCATATGTCCGGAGTTAACTGTCACGCCAGCGCACATGCTGCAGGGCCACGGTGGATTGAAATGATCGTTTGCTTGTTTGCTGTTTGGTTATTTGTCTCATCTTAGTGGCCGAATTTAACCTCATCGACCAGCGCGTAAAACCTCCGCGCGCGTCTGTTTTCGGGCTGTTTAGTTTTCCTGGAAAGTCTTTGAATGTCTTCAATTCTGCAAGGCCCCAAAACTGTTTGAAGCTCTTACATTTTCTTCCTCTGGTATTTTAAAATCCTCGAAGTTCAACGTTTCTAATTCAAATTAAACTCAACTGCTTCGTTTCCAGTTTGCAGTTTTGCATCTTCCACTTTTCCTTGCTGTTATTTTCCAGTCCCTTCTTCTTGACGCCGTTACGTTGGACGGATGTCTCCTTTTTGGACAAATCGGAGCCCCCACCACATAAAGCCGAGGCACGTGTAGATTTCTATACAAACTCATCAGACCGTAAAAGCAGGAGGCTCCTGGCGTGTGCCCGGGTCGAGACGAGGAGGAGGAGGAGAGAGTGTGTGGACTGAGTGTGTGTGTGTGTGTGTAGAGGGGGGGTGAATACAATAAAACCCTCAGGTACATCTGCTTTGCAATCTGCAAATCCTCCCTCCATCACCCCCCCTCCTCTCCTCCACCAGCCTCTCCATCCTCCCACACCCACTCCCCAAATCCACAGGGGACCTCGGCTCCTTCTGATTGGTCGGGGATGAGGCAACAAGGGGGCACGGGAACAATGTCATCATGTCGCCTTAAAAAGAGTGCAGCTATGTTGTGGTGAAAGCACCTCGGGAGGAGAACAGAGGATCAATAGCAGGAGGAAACAACAAAAAGGACGCATCAGATGTTTGTGTCCGCGAGCAGCTGAAAGTGGATTTCTTCTCCCCGCAGCAGCAGCGTCCAAAGTGCCTTCAGCTCTCCGTCCAGCGCGAACATGCCGAGAGGATTTTTGGTGAAAAGGAACAAGAAAACCAACCCGGTATCCTACCGGGTTCGGTCTGAGGAGGAGGAAGCGGAGCAAACAGCGGCTGACGCCCCGCCGCTGCCGCCGTGCTCCTCCGCGCCTCTGGCCTCCGACCCGGTCCGCGCACAGACGCCGACGCCCAGCTGCGGGGCGGCGGCAACAGCCCCGGAGCAGGACGCTAAGCCGGTTCAGTTCGGGAACCCGGAGGCGGTGTACCAGGCGCTGTACAGCCCCACCCGCCCTGTGAGCCAGGACCACGACCGCTCCTACTTCGAGAGACGCTTCAACCTCGGATCACCGGTTTCCGCGGAGTCTTTCCCCACACCAGCAGCGCTCACCGCCTTGGACCACCTCTTCGCCCCGGTGGACCTGAAAATCGGCTCCAGCAACAGCAGCCGCACCGACACCAGCGCTTCATCCACCGGGACGCACCCCACCGCCGCGACCAAGCGGCCGTCCGGCGACACCGAGCGCAAAGGCAAACCGCCCTCCAAGAAAACCAAAGCTATCCGGAAACTGCACTTTGAGGATGATGTCACCACATCTCCGGTTCTCGGGCTCAAGATTAAAGAGGCGCCGGTGGACCAGAAGCCTCCCAGACCCCAGCCCGCCCGAGGAGACAACAACCCGCTGGGCGAGTTCGTCTGCCAGCTGTGCCGGGAGGCGTACGCGGACCCGTTCGCTCTGGCTCAGCACAAGTGCTCCAGGATAGTCCGGGTTGAGTACAGGTGTCCGGAGTGTGACAAGGTGTTCAGCTGTCCGGCCAACCTCGCCTCGCACCGGCGGTGGCACAAACCGAAGCAGCAGAGCGGAGCCGCCGGTGCGCAGAATTTGGAGAGCGACAAGGTGGCCGCGTCCGGTAAAACTGCGCCGGATGAAGCGAAGGATTCTAGTGACAGGGACACACCCAGCCCTGGGCCGTCCGAGTCCGGCTCAGAGGAAGGGCTGTATGATTGTAATCACTGTGGGAAAAAGTTTAAGCGCCAAGCGTACCTGCGAAAACACCTGGCGTCACAGCACGGCTCCCCAAAGCCGGCGGAGGAGGAGGACGCGTCGGCCTGCGAGCAGAGCGCGGCGCCGCTCAACCTGAGTTCCTCCACCTGTCACCTGTGCCCGGTCTGCGGGGAGAACTTTACCAGCAGAGGCAGCCAGGAGCGGCACATCCGCCTACTGCACTCCTCACAGGTCTACTCCTGCAAGTACTGCCCCGCCATCTTCTACAGCTCCCCGGGACTCACCAGACACATCAACAAATGCCACCCGTCCGAGAACCGGCAGGTGATCCTGCTGCAGATGCCGCTGCGCCCCGCCTGCTGATCCGGGACTTTGGGCAAGCTTCACACTCAGATAACAAGGTGAAGTCCAGCCTTGTTTCTGAGAGGATCTTAGAGTTACACTGCAAAAAAATACCTCCCTTTGGGCTCCTTAAATCTGACTTTTTAAATCAAGTGAAAGATGTATGGCACTCTGGTGAGAAAACCTTACTCTGGTTGACTTCAGTGTTGATGGAGGTGATTTATTTTGGTTTTTTGTTGCAATTATTTGGTTTAAAAAAAAACACCAAATTTTCAACTATTTTTCTATTTTAAGAATATGAACACATTGAAGTTTAATTGCAGAGTGTTTCCCTGTTTTTCTCTTATTTTGGGACGTTAAACAAAACGCAGAAATCAAAGAAGAATCAAGAGGAATGACGTAATGTTCGCACACAAACTGCCGCCTGACTGAGGTCAATGAGAAATAAAAGGGTTTTTTTTTGCAGTGTAAGAAAATGTCACTAAATGTAATGATGAGGACTCACATGCACTCATTCCTAAAGGTCAGAGGTCAGCCGCTCACCTGCAGCAGGCAGGAATTCAGTGCCTTGCTCAAGAACACTTCAGCAGGTTCTGGGTGTGTGTTTGAACCCCCGGCCTATAATCTCACCCCCCACCCCCCCCCTCCTTTTTAAAGGATCTTTGACATCATGTTTCAAACACTTAAAAAGCGTTAGACTGTTCATTTATTTTTCTAGCATCTCTGCACAAGTGCTATTAGCTTCTAGACCTAAGAGAGGGGACGACCTGTAGCCGATAAAACCAGAATTCACAGGCCTGAACAGACCTTATCTCATCACTCTGATTAGCTTTAACATAGCTTGTGGATCCGTGGATCAGTAGCTGTTGCCTGAAAACAAAAAAAGAGTAAAACTAGTGTAGCCGGTAATGCCTTTGGATTAGAAACTCCTGCTGTAAAACTGCCTTAAACTCAACTGATCTGATTGTTTTTTGATCACTTATTTATCACTGGCTGGGTATGATATGGTTATTTTCTACAAAGCCTTCTGTATTACCACTATACAGTATATCTGACTCATTTGTTTTTTCTATTTATTTATGTATTTATTAAATTATTTGTGTAAATTATTGCTCTGTGTTGTCGAAGCTGTGATCCGTTGCTGTGTTTTTTCACGACGTAGCCAAATCGTTTTTATTTTCTTTAACTTATATTAAAACAGTGTGAGGACGGTGTGTTCAAGTGACATTATAGCAATCAATGAGTTTTTATCAGCCGCTCTTGAATAATAACTGAATGCAATCATGATTTTATTTATATTTTATTTTTCCTTTTGGTTTCTTTGTTACCATTAGCTCTTATACTGCTTTGGATGTTTCTGCAGTATTTTGCTAAATGTCCAAAAAAAAATAAAAACCAAACTGAGAAACAAGTTTGTTTTCCATCCTTCTTTTTTTTTGTCTGATTGAAAGTTTTAACGAGCAGAAACCTGCTAAAAATACATTTACAGTGGTGGTTAAACAGCTGGATTTACACCTTAAACTAAAGGAGAAATGTGTCTAAAAAGCTGCCAGGGCCGGAGCTGGAGACTTAGAAACACGGTGGCCAACCCTACACCCCCCCCCCCCAGTGGTGGAATTTAACATTAGTAAAATTACTCAAGTACAAATACTTCCACAGTACTCCATTACAGTTCAGAGGAAATATTGCTCTCGGCTAATCTTACTTATTTACTGCGACTTCTACTGTGTGTCGAATCCTCAGGGTCATTAAATCCCGCAGACTCCCAGATATCACCGAGAACACGAGCTCCGAGTTCGCAGCTGTGGCAGCTTCAGCCCTGAAAGCAGCAGCGTGTGACGGTATGTGCACTGACGACGTCACATCCAGATGTTTGTGATATAAAACTGCAGCTGTTTCGTTATCCCAAAACAATAAAACATTTTTCTTCCTTATCAACTACATCTTCAGATTTGTGCAGGTCCCCGACAGTTGTAGTTTTCGTGAAGATGAAGACACGATAAAAAACATCTCATGACTAACGTAGAAGCTAATAATGTTATTTTCAACTAACAGTCAACTCACTAATTCTCCTCCATAAATAAATTGAATATTTGAATTGCCTAGCATTGAATTTTGAAATTACATTTTATTAATATTGATTATTATCAATAATGAGGAACATGTACACACACACCTACTCTGATGAAGGAGTTGTATAAAGACGTCTGAGTAGGACAACTGAAGTCTGTTTAACTCATTTTTCATCTATATTTCATGTCATTATTTCAGTATATCATTACATCAACTCATCATCTCACGTTTGACTGCTACACAATGTAAGAGTGAGTGGTGTACTGTGTATAACAGAGGTCAGAGGTCAGCTGCAGGTCAACACTCACAAAACATTTCTGCATCTGAAAGACATTCCTGCAGTTCCACTCCTCCTCCTCCTCCTCCTCTCTCTGATATGTGGCTGTCAGCTCTAACAGACAGCCTCGTGCTCGTCTGTGCAGCAGCAGCTTTAAGAAGTCCACGTCACTGTGAGTCACCAAACTATTAAAGTCGGTGTTCATGACGTGTTTGTCCGACCACATCGGACAAGAGAGGTGTCTGAGGTGAGGGAGGAGCTGTTCGGTCACTTCCACATTCATTCAGTTTAAAATCCTGCAGTTTTCTTGAGGACTATCCAACTTGACCATAACCAACACAACCCTGTACTTTTATTTATTATTATTTCCCTTCAACTCGTTTCAATTAATGTTTCCAGTTGTATCCTCGTCCCACTAGTTTGTCCCCAGAGGAAATTTGCTTGAGCAGCGCGAGGACCAACAGGGAAACGGGAAACAAAAGGCGCTATATGTAAGTTTTGCTATTTCTACATAGCTAACATTAGCATTAACAGCTGTTTACTTACCAGTCTTGGCAATGCATCCTCTGAGCAGCTGCTTCTTCAGGGCAGACTGGACGCCACAGTGACTCGGTATCGGAAAGTGACGAGATGGGCAGACCAGGCCGGGGCTAGCTGGTTAGCGTGCTAACTTCAGTAGAAGAAAAGAAGTGATAGGAACACAAGCAAAACAAGATGATTGTTTTCCACCTCTGGAGACAGCTGCTGGTGAGTTAAGGAATGAAGTTTGATGCTGAACTCAAAATATTTCTTCTAGACTGAAAGGTAAACAGCTGCTAATGCTAATGTTAGCTATGTAGCAAAGGCAAAATTTACATATAGCTCCTTTTAGAGCGAGGGGGGAGGTTTCACTGCAGCATACATGCATACTCTGCATATGGATGGAAACACGTTCATTTGTATTTTCTTTTGACAAACGTGACGAAATTCTGTTAAAAATGTGTCACAGAATTATAAATGTTCAGTTTTTCGCTTTTAAAGTTTTAACACTGAACATATTTAATTCCATCACACCGAGCAAATAACAATGAACCCTCAAACTCAATAAATCAGTTGTTGATTTATACTGAAAACTATTTATGAGGTAATTAAATTTGCATTTACATGATTATTGAATGCGCCAGTTAATAATTCCATTTTATAATTCCATGTTGAATAAATTAACTGTTTTTAATGGATTCACAATAAGGATGGATGCCTTTTTTAAAAAAGCTTTTGAATTATTAAATGGCTTTTTACTTTTATTTATTCCATTTACCAGCTTGTCCTTGTATCATATCTCAGATCTCACTATTTATTAGTCTCCAGCTGCAACGTTTGGTTTTCTCTAATTTGTCATTTACAGAACTGAAAATAAAGACTTGCCTCTTTTTGTCAATAGTTTTTTTAAGTTGAATAATTTAAATGCAATTTTTTATTAAATTATTCATAAATTGGTTAAAAATTAATCACGATTCTCATCAGCAGATGGAGTTTTTCCAGATGTCATAAAACTGCAGATGTTAAAATGTATATTTGCTGTCAGTGCCAGTCAGTTTCACAGGCTTTCACAGAACATATTCCTCTCACTGTTAATCAGCATATCAATAACTGGTTCTTATTTAAAAAAAGAAAAATTAACATTTGTTTTGCATGTTGTTATAAGGTTTTACAACATTTGAGCATCACTCCCTGATGAGAGTCACCTTCACACAGAGTTCGTTAATTGTCTGTTGTTCATTAGTTTTGATGCTTATTGTTGGTTTTGAGCCTCGATCCCTGTGAAGACAGAAACAGACGTGGTTTGATTTAAACACAATAAGATAAGTACATACAATAAGACTGCACTCTTGGCCTGGCACTTTAAGGGTCAATGACCTCGCGTTCCATTCAGAAGCTGTTCTGGAGCTTTCTATCATATCACACAGTCTTCCTCAGCATCTGCTCCCAACATCAAGACTGAACTCGATCTGGGTTCATAAACAGTTTGATTCATATATCAGATAATTAACAGGTTATATCCCTGGAAGTGGCCTCCACTGTGTGTATTCCAGAGGTGTTCTCCAACATCTCTTAATAGTTATAATAATAATAATAATAATAATAAACAGTCTATGAAGAAGCCTCTGAAATTCATTAATTCACCAAAACTCACAAAAACTGTTTTTTTTTGTTTAGATTGAAAATTGTTGAGAATTTTCACAACTAGACTGAAACCTTTTGTCTCACCTCACCTTAACCCCTCCATCTCTCACACACACACACACACACACACACACACACACACACACACACACACACACACACACACACACTTAGCACACACAAAGGCAGGCCATCAGTCTGTCTCCCTCCTCTGTGTGGCTCTGACAGGTGTAGGCCAGCTGGGGAGCAGACTGCAGATAAGAGCTACAGATAACACACACACACACACACACACACACACACACACACTAAGAAAGAACTAAAGAGGACAGAGTGAGAGGAGAAAGCAGCAGCTGTCAGATCTGCAGAAATGGAACATGAACATGTTTCGCAGCTGAACAGTGAATCTGGAGTTTTTTACACATGAATACAGATTCAGTCTTTTTCACGTGTGTGTGATACAGAGTCAACAGTGTGACCATGTCGAACCAGACTGAAACTCCTCAACAGCCACTGGATGGATTGTCATTCATGGTCCCCAGAGGATGAATCCTGCATCATTTGTACTGGGGATTCATTCACTTTAATTGTGGACAGCCTGATAACCAGTTGAATCATAACTTATTATTTGTTGTATGATATAAATTTCTATAAAGGAAGAAAATAATATTTATATCACTTGTTTTTTTAAGAGCC